TTCCAGATTTAGGAAATAGATAACGAAACGTTACTTTATCTCACTTTTAATTAATTACAAGAGATTCGATTTAAAGGTATTTCGCGAATAGGAGAAGATTGTGTCAATCAATGTCACACATGAGGAGATTATTTCATCTCGCGTCCGGCAAAGTATCGATGATCGAATGATCGGAATATTTGACGAACGAAAATGTCTACATTTAAATAGAATTTCACGAAAATCAGAAACACGCATTTTCGGTCAAACACCGCTCATGGCGATGTTAAACTTGCTTTACCAGAGCACACAAAACCATCGAGTACATACACTCGGGCATTTACAACGCATTCATCTACACGCGTACTTGTAGCCCACTCTTCGCCAAATATACATACCCTATACCGTGCTAAATAACACGTGAACGGATGCGCTCTATATTATTGCGATGAAAAATATTTTCCCGCTTTCGGCATTTTTCCTTCGAAATTGCGCGACTACGACGATCCACGTATGTTTTTCCTTTTTTTTTTTTTTCTCGAACGTACCAAATCGACCTGAGCGTATTCTAGGAGCAGGGAGCAGATTAGATTCTCGACCGGACTTAATAACGAGACTCGCGAGCTCGAACGAAAGAGAGAACGGAAGAAAGGCGCGTCCGGTAAAATTCACTTAGCGCTGCGGAAAAGCTAAATGAAAATGGTTGTTTGCAGCGCGGTAAAAGCCGCTGCCTGCAAGTTGCACGGGCATCGCGTCGCATCGCATCGTGTCGCGTTGCCGCATTCGGAAAGAGCGAAGCCCTGCTCGCCAAGTATATACGTATATGTGCGTACGTACATGTGTATGTGCGGAAAGGGATCGTACTCCAATTTGAAACCGCGTGTCGCGGAAAATACGCGACGAGGTAGAACATTTTGTAATAATTCTCGGTATATATTCCGCAAAATCTCGTTTTGCATTTCTATAGAAGAAGGATAGTAATTTTGCGATTCTTATTTTCCCAATACACGCTACATATCGCCGTATCGTGTTTAAAAGCTTTACTTTGATTAAATGTTCTCACTCTTGAAAAGTCAAATATTTTGAAAGTTATAAAATATAATAGTAATATAAAATAAATATATTATAAAATATAATAATTTTATGATCGTCAAGTAACCCTTGCGCGATTGTTAATAAATTTTTCTCTAACGAGATATATTATATTTCTAAATGAAAAATTACATATGCCAAGCACGTTCTCTTAGAATTTGCGTTCTTTTCTAAATCATTTAAATTTGCAAAAATTATATGGAAATATTGTGTTATCATTAAACGCATCAAATTGTTCTATTCAAATATATTCTTCGCTTCCTTCTGCCACTTTATCATATTTTTCATTGAATAATTTTGTTATGAATATAAAATATAAAATTATTCTTGCTTAATTAATTTTATAATTATGTAGAATCAACTAAGCAAGAATAATTTTATATTTTATATATTTTCAAACTTTTCTCATTTTTTTAAATCATTTCCATCAACAATCCTCGATTGTCGAAAATACGAAGTAAAGTATTCGATAAACAACGAGAATAAATTTTTCAAAGCAATAGTTTATATGTTATTTATTCCAAAAGTACAGAGACCGGGGCACATTCCTATATCCAGTAATCGATAGTCGCACAAAGAGAAATGTAAATAAATAATAGGTGCAACGAGATGCTACGAGCATATATCCATATCGACATTTTCATTAATGTTTCCCATCGCAGTTTTATATCCGCGTGTCGTTCCTTCTTGTTTTATACGTCGGAATTAAATCGCATTTTATTGGCCGACGAATCGGAAGGAAATACGTAATGGTAAGACATAAAACGGAAAAGAGAGAATTAAACGTGGACGAGCGGGACAAAAAAAAAACCTGCCAATTATGTATTCAAATGTGATCGCGTGTCGCGATCGAAGCCACACGCGGGAGGGAAAAAGGAATAAAAATTCAATTTAAAAAATGTCCGGCGTCGAAAACGTCGCAAGCGCGCCGAGTGATAGCCGCGCGGCATCGATTCTATTAAAATACAACCGTCCTCAAAATTGATGAACCCAATTTCGTCCTCCGGTTTGATTACAGTTACCATTATCGATACCGCGCGGCCGCGGCCGTATACTTTTGCGGGATTACATTTAAAATGGAGATCGCGATCCCTGGCGAGCTTGGGCGAGCGTTTGCAATAAATAGCCCGCCGATGTAGTTGCTTCGAAACGTCGCTCCGAATATATCACGGATTTAAAAAAATAAAGATACAGAATACTCTCCAAGCGAGAGAGAAACCTTACTTGGCACATTGACCGTATATTTTTGAGAACGAGCGGAAATTATTTATTAGTTGTCTGTTTTACATATACGAACTCTTGTCTCTCCCCTTCGAAGTTTGTCTCCTCCATTCGTTTCCCCGAAGTAAAGATAAAATTTATTTGCTGCTACTTTTCAAGATATCGTATTATATTTTAATACACTTCGTTTTACTTTGACATCGCAATCTAATGATAAAGAGATGTGTTTGCTAAGTTCTTTCGCTCTATCTTTTGCGTGTTTTCTTTTCGCGAAGCATGATTCAAGTCGAACGGAATGAAAAATAGGACGAGACAGCGACTCGATTATTAATGTGATTATTTTATACTTATTCCGATGTACACACGTTTAATGCATTCTCCGTGTTCGATAAATAAAGCCGAAGAGCAAATAGGGGCATCATTTAGCGCTAACGAATAGCGTAGCGAAAACACAAATCGCCATGTATAAACTTCACGCGCACACATATGTCATTTTCGGAAGAAACCCTCCGCTGACCGTGATATATTTCAACGCGCGATTGTGCCGATTATACCTCGCGCCCGACGAGACTCGTGATCGCCAATTATCGCCGCGATTTCGTCCGCGTCATATCGGCCACCAATTACGGAAGCTCGCAAAATAGATTCGCGTGCACTCGGCTTTATAGGCGCGCGATAAAACGCGTATAAATTCGTTGGCCGCGCAACGATGATCCGGTAAATTTGTCGTTGACGGCGTAAAACAAGGGACGAAATTAATTGATCGTGCATTAATTATAACCAGATGCCATGGTCACTATTATATGAGAGCTACTGGGCGCCCGCCCATTCGACTCAACGGATCATTAAACATTTTCGCCAGAATTTCAGCGATATTCACATTGTACTCGAGAAAAAACGGTGGAGAATGTGTTTTTGAATTTTTGATTTGTTTAAAAAGCAAAAAAATATCATAGAAAATATATGCATGTGCGAAAAAGATTGGGTCATTCAATCAAAATGCGACTTCAAATAACGTTCCTTCTGCCTTACGTTATCGTATTTGTATCTCGCGAAAGAGGTTGCTCTTTTCAAGATTCATCAATTTTAAAGAACTCGAGTTCCATATTACAAATAATTAAATTATACAATGCTAACAATGAAATGCCACTTCGCAGATCACCAAGCGCGAATCTGCCATATCGAGCATGATATCTCTGCTCTCTTGAATTTAATTATTGGTTAAAATTATATATTCAGATCACGTCTCAAACTAACTTTGCTATTAAAATATCATGATTAATTGGTATAATTACATTTGATTAATGATCTTAATTACGTCATCTTTCTCAATCCTCGAACGCGTTTTGCATTTCCGTGGAAATTGTTATATCATGATTTGCTATTATGGAACAGAAGTCACGCGGTTTTTTGTTCGATCGATATGTTCACCAATATTGTGATTATTAAATGAAAACACACGATAGCTATTATATTTCTCTAATTATCATTTTTTTATTTTAAAATTATATTAAAAATCATAAAAGTTAAGTAAAAAAAAGTATAAATTCGTTCAGCATTTTTGGTTGAAATTGTCACGAAACGTCATTATTATGTATTTTTCTCTTGTTATCAAAATTCTCTGAAATGTTCTAACGATTAAAACTTTAGAAATCAAAGTAATCTTCAAAATGTGAACCGAGTTCCGTGATTAAGTCACAGTCCAATTCCCAGACTTTTCTTTCTTTAGTAAATTCTTCTCTCGGAGTTTACGAATCCTGAATTCTTCGCATCTTGACCCACTGTTTACAGTAAGAAGAAAAAAGTCTCAGGAAGAAAATTCTTTCATTTCAAATTAATATATATTTGTAAAAGGTACGCACAAAAGTTGAAATTGTATATTCTTTTCCATCTTCAAAAGTAAAACATTTTCAAGATCTAAACAAATTAAATTTTTTTTACAATCTAAATTATATTTTCACTGTATTGTATCAGAAAATATCGTTTACACAAAATATCATTTACAAGTTCAGACATGCATTTATACAATAACAGTGTAATTATTTATTATTCCCCGAAAAAAAATCGCTTTTTGAAAAATTAATTAACTTTTGGAAAAATTAATTTACAAAAACTTGTTTTTTCCTGTATATATTTTCACAATAAAAATTAAATAACTCTGGTCGGAAACGAATATATACATTCAGCAAAGTAGTTTATATTATTTTTATTGCGGAAAAAAGTGTTTTTGCGAATGGATTAAAAAAAATTCAAAGGGATGCTTTAGTATTGAAAAATCTATGAGAAAAACAAGGAAAAATATTTCTCTGATATCTTTATACGTTCTACAGGTATACGCCTATTTGAAACGAAAAGAGATGTTCACTTCCAGGAGTCACGCGTTCCCCTGTGACTCGCGAGCGGGAGATACAATCCCCGGTAAAATATCGGGGATACCTTTCGAAGGAGGAGATCCCGCGGCTTAGAAGGAAATCGCGCACGAATGATCTCGTGAACTCGAGAATACGCGGGTAGCATCGTCGACGTGGATTAAATCTCAAGCCGACCGAAATATACACCGGGAGCGAAATCACCACCGGGCGCGGTATCTAGTTATTAATACGCAGCAGATTAGCCGCGCGCGTTCACGTCGGATCGCGTGTATTCCGACCACGTTTTTCCAGTTATATGATCTTGGTCTGACTCTCGACCCGACTTTGTCATTACAGTGACAATGACAAATGCGGAAGCAGTGGTAGGAGAATCTGCTGCGCTACCGTGCGACGTGAAACCGCCGCTCTCCGGGGACAAGCTGCACCTAGTTATTTGGTACAAGGAGGAAGCGGATACACCGATATACAGGTAAATTCTCTCCATCTCTCTCTCTCTTGCGCGCGCGCGCAAATTCATTCTTATGTTGATCGCGTGCAATATCGTTCTCGCTTTTCAAGCGTAAAACGGAAACCGCGAAGCCGCGTTCTCATTATTATTACAGCGACGTTTGGCGCTGCAAAGATTATTCGTAGATTTCGTATTTTGATATCTAACTTCGGTTGGAATTAGCATAAGGATTTAAGTTTTTCATCTCCAAGTATTTCCGCGCCGCGTTGTTATTTCGAAAATGTAAAACTCGCGGCATATTAAATTAAACTTTTCCTTCGTACGAAATGATGCAAAAATGCCCCGTCACTTTTAATTGTTTACACAGCGAATGTTTTTAGGGCCTCGATAAACGTTTTCTATAATTTTCGAAAGAGAGAATTGATTTTCCATCAATTTTTACATCCCGCATACATGTAACATATTTTAACGTAAACCGACTTAGATATCTAGCGTAATAATTCTGTCACGTATTTGACATCGCAATACTTATAGTATATAAAATGATAACGTCACGTATGATATATATGAAAGACGAATTATATCACGTAGAAATTTAAGATGCATTGTAATACACGTAGGATAATAATTGTGGAACAAGATCGCACATGACTTTTCATTTATCAATGCATGATAATAGGTATAAATGTAATTTCGCATATAATATATTCCTCCAGAGCGATAAATTTATTTATTCAAAAGTATAGCAAGCAAGTGTAACAAGCAACTAGAAACGAAACTAACGAACGCGGATTATAAATTGCGCCTTTGAGATTTGCTCCCGATTTATAATACTCGATGCTCCAGAATTTGTAAATAGATTATGCAAGTATGATTTAGAGATTATTCTTGTACAATGTAATATAGAGAGCAATTATACATAAAATATACATAAAATTTTATAACTTTTTAAAGAAATAATTCTGGGATAAAAGAGTTTATGTAATATCGCTTAAAAAGGGAACCTGGTATAAATAATATTAGCAGAATAATTGCAACGGTAATTGTTTCCGAATGAGATTTATCAATTTCTTAAGACAGAACGCCCTGATTATGCGCGGGATATACTCGAGTCAGTTGAGAAAACGAACTCTTCTCCGTTTGTTCCGCGTTGAACTTAATTCGCGCAAATGGAAATGCCTCTCAAACAGAAAGACAGGCATAATTTACATTCCGCGCCGCGGAAAGTGACATATCAGAACTGCAGGAAAATCGCTCGATGTTCTAGTTAGGAGGAGAACCCTCCGACGTTCATCAAATCAAAGCGAATTACATTTGCAAGAGAAACGTTAATTGACCGACCCTTAACACATGCGATCGACATACATAAACGACCCCCCTTGACATAATAATTATTAGTAATGATGCCGTCATATTTACAATCACTCTCTGTAATTAGATTTACACTTCTGTTACACACTTGTATACATTGTAGAAAAAAAAGATTTTGCATCGTCACGATTTACATGTCTCTACGTTGACAATAACATTTTTCGATAATCCGTAATTACTTTAAAATATTCGAGATGTATGGAAATCATTTTTATATATAAAGATTGTTTCAATTCAATTTAATTCGTGGCAAAAAAATTATTTTTACAAAATCATATTTTTAATTATAAATGTATAATTTTTATACCATTTGTATAAGTCAGCTTTCTTTCTTTGCTGTACAATATTAAAATTAAAATTTATGTTGCAATGTCCTTTTGACTTAAACATTTCCCAACCTTTCAAAAGTTTTTACAAAACGTTTATTGTTGCAAAACGCACACAACAATATATATAATTGTTTTATTGCGTAATAAAAGAAAATAACGAGTATAAATAATAAAGTAGCGATAATGGGACAGAAGTGGACATCTTGTAAATGTTTAATCTGTTTCTCTTACTGTTACTACCGTGTCCAATCTTCTGAAAACTACTGGCACATTACAAGAGATTGTTTTCGTTGAAATGAAAAAACTTTTCTGTTAAACGCGTCTTACATCTACAATTCGCTCAAGGGCTCGCTCTTCGACGACTCGATATTAGTTTGCTGGGTTTTTCTTTTCAAAGGAAAAATTAACGTATGCTAAACTCTCACAGAAAAGAAATTAATTAATTTGCCGCGACTACAATTTTGCCTGCGTGATTCTGCCAATTTGGGAATTCAAGTGCCATGCGCGTATTCTTCGTAACGAAGCACGGTTATTTTAGGAAATTCGAATTCTGCATCCAATTTTCGTGTCTGGTTTTTTTTTTCGAGCTGGTTTAATCGCGCGATTAGCTTACATAGAAATTCAAAGGGAGAGAGAAAAAAGACGCAAATACACAAAAGCGGTGAATTGCTTTTAATGCATTTTATGCATGCGTGTAATGAGAATGCACGATGACTGACAGCCATTAATTTGTTTATTACGTTTACACGTTTCGGAATCTCGTATCAACCAGTCGTTCCCCATCTCGGCTACTAACTTTCCTGAATTGTTGCCTTATTGCATTATATATTTGCCGACGGATTTACTCATCGCGTTTGAAGTTTGCGAAATTTTTGCGAGGATAATGCGCGCGCGGCTCGGCATACGTTACTTTAGTTCGGTTATTAATTATAAATGGCAGAGTAATGCATTAAGCTAGCACAACCAAAATTATCTCGTTGTATAGCCGACGTACTGATCTTGATAATGTATTCGTTGCTTGGCAACCGATGCGCGCAATCGATGCGTCCGCGTAAAATTTACGCAAGAGGATTAATACGCATGCGAAAGAGAGAACGTGAAATTACGTAATTTGATTAAAATCGCTGCAAAATAGTAATAATAATAATACACTCGCGAGAGATACGCGCGAATACGCGGAACGGATAATGAATTTAAGTTCTGAGCGCGTATCCCGCGCCATTTCAGCGCGTATCTCGAATGTCGGGGCAATGAGAGGAAAAAAGAGTTAATCTCACGCCACCCACCGCCACCTTCGGCTGCTTTTTGGTCGCCCGGCGAGGAACGAGGGATTAAAATACTCACGCATCCCGGTAGCTTTCTTCCTCCTTTCCTTCGAGTTGCGCCCGATTCTTTTATTCCGAGAGTTGATATCGCGGTTTTATGCACAGAAACGTGGCGAAGGCCGGGAATCCCATCTTTTCCTGCGAGGAGGATGGGATGGATCTGTGGCAACTCTGTGACATACTTAGCGCACGTGTATGTCTATTTTTCCTCTTCTCCCCTTCGCTGCCGCGGAATGTTTCCTCCCAAAGTGGTCCATATAGCGAATTGGCTGCCCTTTATTTCTCGCAGCCTTTCCTCCCCCTCGCCCTTTGCCGTCTTCTTCATTCTCTTTTCCTCTCACGAGCGCCCCGTCTCTGCCAGCTTGACTCTGATATATGAATTGTGACGGGGGGCTTAAAGGTATCCCAGAGCAAAATTATGGATACGATATTATTTCTTTTGGCGCACCCAACACACGATACACCGGGCGCGTTTATCGTATTATCCCGCTGGCGTTTTCTCTTTCTCTCTTTCTCTCTCCCTCTCTCTTTTTCTGTCTATACGTATATATTTTTCCTTTTCTTTTTCACAGTTTTATTAAGTTGAAAGTCTTTCGACCCGTGACGAAGTGCTCCGTCGCGCCACGGCGGCTTTGTTTTTTGAAACGCCCATCCTCTGATGCTCGAGCAAATTGATCGATCTTTGTCTAGTCCTTCGTTTTTCAACCGAATCGCTACAGACACGAGAAGGAAACACGCGTAACGACTATTGTTGTCTGAAAATTATTTTTTTCTTATATGTATGAATGATTCTTGGATTCTTGGATCTCGAAAAGTTAATTAAATCTAGGCTTTTTCGACGATTTCCTCTTAAATTCTTAAATTAATGACTTAAAGATTTAATCAAAATTAAATAGCATCGCGCCGATTTAATTTAGCTAAACTAACGATTGGTGTAACGTTTCTTTAAAGTGCAAAGAAATTGAGTGTAAATTGGTCAAAAAAAAATCCGCAAATGAGAGAGGATTTGCTGCAGGTTCTAATTATAAGACGCTTTGTACAGATCGCTCGTAAAAAGTCGCACTTTGTAACGTGATTCCATTGGAAGTGATTGCGGTCGACTTTTTCTCTTTACGAATTTAAGAAGATTACCGATAATAATTCGGATGCGATGTCAAAGGGACGTTACAATGTTGACAAAGGAAATGCAAAAGCATGACGTGTGCATACGTGATAAGCATTCCTCATCTGTTTCCAACACAGTAATCCTTTGTATGGACTTGCATGTGCCCAACATGCGATTATTCCGTTCGCCGTCGCGTCTGATGGAACGTCTACGTGAGAGATAAACGCATTCATAAACCATATAGCTACAATGTGTAATTATAATGTTAATCAACTCTGATTTTGTAACATATAAATTATATTATTAAAATTGACATTATCCGCGTAATTAACTACAATGTGTACAAACGGCACAAATACAAATAGAAATGCTTCTATTATATAACTTGAAGCGCAAAATCATAGATTATTTGAATTTTTCCATTGAGATGGATAAAAAAATTAAATTAATAATAAATTAATTATTAATAATAAAAATTAATAATAAAATGCAGACTTGAAGCGCAAAATCATAGATTATTTGAATTTTCTTATCCATTGTGATGGATAAGAAAATTCAAATAATCTATGATTTTGCGCTTCGAGTCTGCATTTTATTTTCTCTGTGTTATTTTTATTCGTATCGCAAATTATCCCTCGAGCTTCAAAAATGACACTCGTTAAAGCACTCGATAATTTCAGGAATACCGTGTAATAATAGTCGCAATAAAATTAATGGTTCGGTAGATGTGTCGAAGATAACGATAACTGCACACACTTCGTTATCGAATATACGACCCGTACATGACATCATTTTGTCGCGACACTCGGTGCTCCTTTTCATTAACGTAATTTGCCGCTCGATCGTTTAGCGAGGAGGGGGGGGGGGGTCGAAACCGCTCCAGAAAGTCGCTCGCAGACGCAGAAAATCGTCCGAATGGGCGAGAACGCGCTTTCGCATGCTCGGTTGACGATGTAACTCACCTTGGTGAACCGGCACGGGTCATATAAAAGTGTACCGGAACGTTCTCCGGGGACCGGTTTCAGAAAACTGCTCCATATACATACATATATCGCCGCGTACATACATATATACGCCTCTTGTCTCGCCCCCTGGGATGCATTCGCGTCTGAGCAGGTGCAGCATTCGTCACACCTGCTATTTTACATCCAACGAAATCAATTCCGATTGTCGATTCGAGCTGGCTCCGTAACTATTGTTTTGCGTTGCCTCGATTCTTCCTTTTCCGAATGGAAAAGAGGACACTTATGCGAGTATCACCATCTTTTCCAAGCAGATGCAATTAAAGAGCTCTTAAAAGTTTTAATAAAAATCTCCCCGATACCTCGAGAGGAAACAATCTTCTTTTGTAAAGCGCAATTTGTCAAATTCAACATAGCACGATAGAATCTGCAAAGAATTTAACGCTTCCGATTCTTTCCTTCTTTCGATATATTTTACAATAATAATAAGTCTCTGAATCACATGCAATATTTAATATTATTGATACAGAAAATTGGACAATTTTATGAGAATATTTTTGATTTATATAAAAATGCTCTCTTGTTAATCTGCATTTTTGAAACTTTTAAATGTGATTCTTTATTTTTTCACATTTTTGTTTTACGCCGTGGGATTAGTTGCATAAAGCTCTTGTGCACATTTACAGAATGAACGTCGCGATTGTTCAAAATTCCAAGGAAAATATGACCGCCGATATGCAGACAATGTCTCGACCCCGGCACGTTTAAAAGTTTCGTGATAACGGCGCGTATAACTGACGCCACAGTACAGTAACGCTGACAGAGTCACAGAAACTGCAACTAGACACTACCAACGACTGAATCGCGCATTAGAAGCGTGCACGTTTAAGGAGATAAGGAAATTATGGTGGTTAATTATTACCACGACTACACATTCGCTCTGGATCTTCTTGCGAAGCGAATATAATTCAGGAGAATTAGAGGAATAAATTAGCAACAATTGCCTTAATTGTTCTAAATAATCGTTTCAATTGTTTTTAGGAGCTTTTTGTTTATGGTGCCTTGTGTTTTCGAAAAGCCGAGTGTAATTTTAATAACCTGCGAATTTTGAAATCGACGTTTTTAAAAAAAAAAAAAGATATTAAAGAGATTATTACACATTTTTTTAAATAATTTTTTAATGTTCAAAATATATATATATTAAATATCTTCAATTAAAATGCTTAAAACTAAATTAAGTTTGATTTCAAGTAGACATCAAAATTTTGCTGTTGAATTTTGCTACAAGATTTTAATTCGCGAACTCTTCATTTCTAATCGTTTGTAACTCTAGGATCTGTCGTGAAAAAAACGAAAGCGCAAGAACATCCTATATATACGCATAATGTATACGTAGAAGCAATAATATGTAAACGTTATTCGAAAAGAAGTTACATCCTTAATGTTGAATATCCCCGATCCAAGCTTCTTCGAAAATTTCACTGAAGCACAATAATGAGTTCGAGGAAAAGTTGCCGAGGAATTTCATTACGGGCCCGATCCGTCGCAAATTTCTTCGGAAAATTTCTTTGTAGCAACGACGCCGCATAAATTCAGTTAGCTTCGTTTCTGTTCGCCGATAGAAATTCTGCGAGGGCAGCGCGCCGGCGTAAAAGGGCCGAATATTAGAGGGCAAAGTGCTACGAGAATCCTGCGTGACTCTGTACTTTTCTTCAGTCGGAGCATTTTTCTCGATTGAGCGTCTCGTGAGAGTTTAATAGGGGCAATATAAAAGTTTCTCTCTATACGCGTCCGCCTATCCAAGAAACGCGATGACGCGCATTAGCGAGTATTGAAGAAAGAAGCGAGGGGGAAAAAGAAAGTACGAGCTTTTCTTATTTATGGCACTTTATAGCCAAACTTTCAATCGCGTTTCTTGACGGGAGGACTTAAATACAGGATACTCTTATCCACTAATTACAGTTTCACTTATTAATAAATTTCTATTCTCTCCCGTTCATATAGTATGCCAACACATCGTGTGCGTGACTTTACTTCTTTCTGTATGATTTGAGAAGACATTAAAACGGACTATATGTACTATTGTGACTCAAAAAAGCAACTTTTTCTATTTACAAAAATTATAATTTTAACGAGTAAAACTCTTTTGATATCGTTTACATTGGACCTTTATTGCAGTTTTGACATGAGATCGGTGAACAGCTTGGAACATGGGAATCACTGGCAGGATCAAAGTCTGAAAGAACGTGCCTCCTTCAAGGACACCTCCGAACCCGCGACGCTTATCCTAAATAACGTTCGCGAAAGCGACGCGGCTGTTTACAGATGCAGAGTCGATTTCAAGCAATCGCCGACGCGCAACAGCAAAGTCAATCTAACGGTGATAGGTAAGTTTCTAAACGATATTTTGCATTGAAAACCAAATACAATATGCCGACGATTAAAAGAGCGAAGCACACACATTCTTTTCTAATTTTTTTTCAGAAACAATTTTTTTACAATGTATTCCTTTAAATATTTTTTATGTTTAAAGATATCTAATCTGATAATTTTTTGGAAATAAATTTTCGTATGTGATAAGTAATTTAAAAATATTTAAAAAATCATGCATCTAATACATGTACATAAAGAATATATTATTTTATTTCTGTTAAATAATTTATATTATATACTTGACACATCTGACAGTTTGAACTTTTAAAACTCTAGTTATTAAAATAACGCAGCGAAAAATAAAGCCGTCATTTCTAAATTATTTAATAAATCAAAAATGTCTTGTTTTCTGTATAACTTTTGATGCAATTTTTTCTTTATGATATATATTTTATTCGGCGATAAAGCCATTTGCTGAAAATTTGCGAAAATTGAATTTTCGAACCTGGGAATTGTATGATACATCGGATTCGGATGATCAGTTCAATATTTGCGCTTTCCATGTCGCTTTCTAATATAATCGACCCCGTTATCATTGAATCGAATCGATCAGTTCAACTATTCGGCTGTTTCAACTATCTCGGTCGAAACTGTGCAACGACTGCATTTTTAAAAATTTTTCTTGCATGGCGTAACATTATCCTTAATGGAAGAACGACTACGTGACCATGGCCGATAATACCAGGGTGGATAGACATCGAGCGCCGCCATACTGGTGCATTAAAATTTATTTTTTATCTCAGGAATAACATCCGCCTCTTAATGGTAAAGGCGGTACGTGACGACGCAGGCTGATACATCGCCGCGTAAATTGATTCAACTCGCTTCTCGCGCCGCCATTTCCACGCGGATATTAGCATTATTAACGATATTACGAATTTTTTCCCATGCCCGATTAACGTTGGATAATACATTAATATTTAATATTTTTGCGAAAATCTAATTTTTTTAGAATATAAACAAGAAAATAATAAATATATTTTATACAGAAATATATCCTGTGCTTTCTTAATGCACAGACAATCTACTTCTCAATCCTAATAATTAATAATACACATTTGCATATCTTTGTTGTTTTATATCACATACATTTATTTTTTATAGATAAAATTATCTTGTTATAAAAGAGGAAAGAGTTAATTATGTTACAGTTGATGCAGCAAAGAAAAATAATTATTAAAAGGGATAAATATATTTAAAAGTCACAGTTTTTTTTTTCCTTTGTATGTAGAATGTATATATGGCATATTATTACAAAGGTCAGAGCAAAATTAATAATAATAATTATCACCATTTCATTAATAGTTTGCGTATTAATAACAATATGCCATTGGTAATTTTTTTGGCATGCATGTTATGCTTTTTCACGTTCTTAATCGATTTAATTTCCTTATTTAAGAAATCTGTCATTAAATAAATAGATTTGTTTCACAAAATTTTCGTGCTTACCGTGTTGCCAATTTTATTTTTCAATATAATTAATGTAATTAAATGAAAATTTATCAACACACACACATCATCGCGCTGCGCTTTGTCTTCTTATGTAACACTAGAATTGATACATTATTGCGCAAATTGATTCATCCACGGTGTTCGCCTCTTCTATCCCCGTTCGCATTCCCAGACATCCCGAATAAAGGGAAGAGAATGCGGAGAGCTTCTTATTGCGAAAATTATTACAGTACCGCCGGAGCAGCTTAGCATATTGGACGAAGACGGAAGGTCTCATATTCCCCATTACATCCTCGGCCCGTACACCGAAGGAGCGTCTCTCAATCTCACATGTGTCGCCGCCGGTGGTAAGTGCATGACGCGCCGGTGCACTTTCCGATGCATTCGCCTCCCATAACGCTCAGGCGTCTCGTTGTTGCCTCGACTCGCTTGCAACACTCGAGTTGTGCGTTTCACGTGAAACAAATGTGCGGCTCGATTTCTTTGACATTTCGAACGTCAGATGCATTATTCTTGGAGTCGCGTTTTGAATTTCGAACAATGAAGGCGCCGCCTTTACGTCAAAGTAAATACGTGCGTAATAAGAGATCTCTCTAGTGTAAAATATAAATATATATTTTTTGATATATTTTGACGAGGAAATTTGATGACAATCTGTCGATTATTAATCGCAACTATCGAATTTTGTATCAAGAGAATTTTATACAGCTAATTTAAGATGATGTGCAACATAATTTGCAACATTTACAAGTTTTTTAAATATTTCTTATTTTTAAGATTTTTATTAATCCAGAGCTAAGATAGGAATATATTTTGTACGTTCTGTTTTTCATATCCTTTAAGGAATATTTTCTTTGTATTCTTTGATATTTTAGTTTTATTTGTTATCGAAACTTTTCTTCAGAAAGTAAATTTTTCAAACTTTGTTGTTTTCTTCAGAATACAATCTGCACAAAGATTTATTACTTATCAAAGTCTAACTTTTTACAATAAATTAGAAATCAAAAAATTAAAAAAATGAGTAGATTCTTTGCAATAATTTTCTGCGTGAAATAAAAGAACATTATATGTTACCTTTAATAAAAGTAAAATATCGCACATAATATTTTTAATTAAAATTTTAAATAATTTTTTATAATCATAATCATTCAATTCTTCTAATGATAACGTAAAAATTTATATTTAAGAAAATACTCCTTTTTTTATGAAAAAGTATCAAATGTATATTAACTATTTATTAACTATTTGATGTTTTTTAAAATTGTAAATTACGTTCTCTCAGAGAAAGCCTTAGCACAATTTATTATAAATTAACTTTATTAGAGATTTCAATTTTGTATTTAATTTATTGCTCGGGACGTTAAGTCGAGATTAGTGCAACAACGGCGGCATTAATGCAACAAAATACCGACACATATTCGTCGGATTCTGCGGATCCTTCATGTTTCTTTAGGGCGACCGCAACCACGAGTGACATGGTGGCATGGGACTTCTCTGCTTGATAACAGCTACGAAATCGTGGATGCTAAAAGGGTTCGCAACGTGTTGCAATTGGAAAAGTTGGGTCGCAAGCATCTGCGCACGTATCTGACTTGCCAAGCCACGAACAACAACATAGTAACACCTATAACAAGTTCGGTGACGCTCGATATGAACTGTGAGTATCGATTTATTGATGGTTACTGATTAATTTCTAGAGTGAAACAGTGCAGTGAATAAAAATTTCATTTTTCATAAAAAAAAAAAAATTGTCCGACAAAAGACCCTTTGGCAAAAGATTTTACGTGAAAAAATTATGACATATTCACATAAGCGCAATGTGTGCGTTACTCATTATTTCTAATTAATAACTGACCGAGTGTAACTCTTAATATGACATTGTTTATTATAATAAATATTGTAGTAGTAAATATGTAATATTAATTATTTGTTACGTCAAAAATGATGATTGTGAGAAATATGCAATTTTCTTAATCGTGAACAATTTTATCCAATTTCCATTAAATTGAAGCTCAAGTATCTTCGTGTATCGATTGTCACGAAACTCTTACCGTAGCGTATCGATTCAGTGAATTGAGTTTCTACCGGGAAAATTTCTGTTAGCTTCACACAACTGTGCGCGAATCTCGATGGGCGCTTAAATCTAAGTGTGACACACACACTCTTTTACAGTGAAACCGCTCTGGGTCCGGATTCAAGGAGAGAACCGTCCACTTAGCGCAAGCAAGACCTATGAGATAGGTTGCGAGGTTGTCGGAGCCAGACCGGTCCCGACGATCACGTGGTCCAAAGGGAACACGATACTGCGACATGCACGGGAAACGGTACGATTTAAAATAGATTGTCGGCGATTTAATGCACTCTCGTAAATCACACGAGACTAATTTCGTCCGGAGAACTCTCTCCGAATGTCTCTGCGATTATTTCTCGCCTCATTCTCTGATTCTTCAAAAGCAAAGATTGACATAATTAAATTAATACGCGGCAAGTTTGTGTACAATTTGTATTATTTCTTATTCAATGTCGTCATTAGAATTCATACATTCATCCGATTGAGAGGTGTATTTTGTTAATAGACGGAAGGATGTTTAATATTCCATCCGAGATGTTAAAAAGTTACATAAATATAAGCTTTGGCATTGAATTTGTTTGGTAAATCCAATATCGGCGCGCGACATAATCATCGCCATCTAATTTAATCAGTCACAGACGGCGATTCGATTCCAGGATTGTATGCATATCGTGATTATTAAATTGTTCGGCAAACTATTTTAAATTCATGAAATTCTCACCAACAGACGAGTGCTGACGGCAACATAACAACCAGCGTCCTAACATTCATGCCGAGTATCGAAGACGCCGGCAAGTTCCTTTACTGTCGCGCCAGCGTGCCAGATATTCCGGACTCGGAGATGGAGCAAGGATGGAAGCTCAATATATATCGTGAGTGTTTTCACAGAAACGCACCGGGGTGTCCCGCAATTTCGCGTCGCACACTGGAAACTTTCATCGATGTAATATTTTTACAAGCACATTTCGTATGCATATCGTACGCTGCAAAGTCAACATTACAATTCCAATCGAGAATTCTAACGGCGTTCCTTTTGCTTTAGACCTCGTTGCTATCGGCGAGATTGTTTACGCAAAAAGTAACATTTATTGTTGAGATCGAATCATATTATTTTACTTTGAAACTTGGTTCGTGTGATTTTTTTCGATTAATTAATTTAACAATTCTAATATCGAAAGTTGAAGGTTTCTAATTTAAGATTCAAGATTATGTAAACAGGATAAAAGATTAATGTACGAGATAGAAATTAAAATATGCTAATAATATTTTATCGATTTTTATTTCGTACACTTTCGATCATTTCCTGTTCCGGATGCATTTTTTTATAATTTTAATAACATATTATTACTATTTATTATTTTAATAAAAAATTATTACTTAATTATACATATCTGAATTCGATTTCTCGCGATGGGGGTGCCAGGTTAACGGAGGTTAACGGAAATGTCGTTGCGGCAACCGTCGATGCGCGTCCGCGTCGTAGTTCAAATTGCAACCCTGGTGCAACTTTCCAGGGACATTAATACGTAAAGTTGCAGAACGAATCGCCGCGAAGCGTCGCAGTCAAGCTAGGATTAACGTCGTGATTTCACTGTCTAATATAAAAGTTTTCCTCGAGCCGGTCCGAGATGCGAGAGAAGGAAAGAGAGACGGAGCTTCGTCTGGAAATTAATAGCACATGCCGATCCATCGTACTGAAGATTCAGCCCGATTTTGCCGGCGCATTTCCACCACTTCGAATATCTTGGCAGCCCCATTTTCCCGTCTTTTCCGCGAGTTTTTATCCTTTTTTATTCATTTGTCGCGTCCGTTAGTAATTTTATGAGGCGAGGTGAGACTGCAAAAACGGGGTGAGAAAATTTACTCGTTTATTGCAAGCGCGAAACGCGGCGGAATTATCGGATTCGCGACGGCGTTGCAGCGGAAGGAATCATAAGTAACGTTCGATATGCAGCCGCGATTTTCCTCCGTTTTTTCTCAAAAAATAATACCACCGGAACGGACGCTCTCTCGATGGGAAAATCTGCTGACATGCTATGCGATTAATCATTTATTTACAATTTAATCAAGAAGCAATAAAACAGATCACGTTACAGATTTACGTATTTTAATATTGAAACATTATACAATATTTTCGTAAATATTTATGTTAATTAGTAAATGATTTTTCAATAATTCTTTGTATAAATTCAATATAAAATTTACAAGCACGACGATTCAAATAGAGAATAGTTTTTAATCGATAAGCCAATATAAACACTAAAGAAAAAGTTTCGATTCTCCGTTTCTTGTATCTAAAATGTCCATTTACCGTTTTTTTATTTTAAAAAAATTTTTTTTATTTTTTTATTTTATTTAAAAATTTTTTATCTAGGCATTCATACGATATCTGGGCATTAATAGGCGTTAATTACTGTAATTAAAGCGGCATCTCTCATATTGGTGCATTTCGCGCTTCGGCTTTGATGTTGATTCTGTTTTCAGACGAGCCTGTGGTTACCCTCGAGCTTGGCAGCAATTTGAATTCGAGCGCTATTCGGGAAGGTATCGACGTTTACTTCGAGTGCAACATCAAGTCCAATCCCTGGGTTTACAAGGTTTCCTGGCGCCATAACGTGAGTCCACACTCTGTCGCATAGGACGCAGATAACGAATCCGATTCAGAAATCGATAATATAAGCCGAAGCTTAATCGCGTCGAGATAAGGGAACGGTAGGGCGCACCTGCGACACACGATAAACTTCCGTCCGAAAACTCCCGCGTTTGATCTCGGATTCGTATCACCGAAACGCGCTGCGCAGGGCGCATATAAAGCGGATTTTCCTCGGATAGTAATTAACCTTTCGAGGGTTCGGTTCTATTAGAAATTTTCTCGCAACCTGAGCATTTCACTTCGGAGAAAATGGTAGACAATTTTAATATTTCCCTTGTCTAAAATCATACTTATATTGCAGACAATATATATCTTTCAACTTGACGGCAAAAAATATCGCAAAAGTCCCCATTCGTTTTAATAATTTAATACGTATGCGAAATGTTTTCTCTCTTATTAAAATAAAATAAAAAATTGTTAACTGTTAGCCATTTAAAATTTTTAAATCTTTAACGTACATAATAGTATCTACGATTTTTAAAAAATCAATTGGCAAGCAAGTGATAAAACAATTACGTATAAAAACTTTTTCTCATATTAAAATAATCCGTATATTTGGTGCAACATTTCTAGCGCGAATTGCAACGAATTGATATCGAAATTTCTATGAATGATAATCCATTGGAATCGCATCATTTTATTCATATTTATTCTAAGCCGCTTGAGTGCGCAATGTTTTTCTTCGTTATTAAAATGATGCGCTTGATTGATACGGGACGAGAATTGCAGCGTGGATTTAACTGCAGATATAAATCGATGTATTTTATCAACGATTAATAAGAATGCGATTCATCAATGCCCGAATGTGTTTTAATCCCTTCATTCATTTTGAACATCCTGCCTTTATCGATGATAAAGTCATACGCGCGATTGATTTGGAACTGATGGCATGACATAAATCATAGGTATAAATCAAGTTATTTCTCATCGAAATTAAACCATCGGGAAGCAATTGCATTCAATCATTCCAAATTTATTTTTAATCCTACGATACAAAGTATATTTCTCTTTTATTGTCAGATGTTAGGATCCACATATTGAAAATATTTAGGTAGTAGTTATTAAATAAGAAAATAAAATTTTTCAAACACTATTGTCCTTGCTTCTTCTAGCGCATTTATTTAAACGTTATTTTTTCAAATTTTTTTTAAATTTTCAGCATTAAATATTGAATATATTTCAATAATAGTTTAAATTATAAATATATCAAAGTTTACCATTAAAGAGTAAATTAAATATAAATAATAAATTAACACGATTCCATTTTTTAGTTGCTAATAATTCAAAAACTGTATTTAATAAATCATATTGTAAAACAGAGTTTGTCGTTTATATTTATCGTTTTTGTTGAAAAAAAATTTGCAAGAAAATAGATTTTCGAAAATACATTAAAAAACATAAGCCAAAAATTCCGTTACTCAAAGATATATGTGTTATGACATTAAAGTTATTGCGAATATTTTTCGAACTTTGATATCCGTTGCTCGAGCCAATTTCGATGATTCTTATCGCGCGAACGAATGTCGTTTACATGGAAACACGGAGGAAACGCAAATCCCAATCAATTCCCTCGGTTCGAGGATTGCAAAATTTGTTTCGCGAAAACTCAAAGCCGCTTTCATCGTCTCGGAAGTCGTGCGCGCGACGAGGGAACGCAAGAGAGATCGAAAAACTGTCAGCGTTCTCGTCGTGAATTTCTCACGCGGGATTTATTATCGCTTAGACTTTCGTGAGAAGCGCGAATATACAGTTTTCGTACTTTCGTACTTTAATATCGCTCGCGAAAAGAGCGTAATATTAGTTTATCTTTCCATTTTCATGTATAACTATATTGCTTTTATATTTATTTATTTATCACTTATATTTCTCTTCATTTATATGCCTTTACGTCGCTTGGTCGATAATGCTTCATCTATCAAACCTTTTTTTATCATAGCTCTTTTTTATCGCTATGAAATTCTCTACTGTACATTTTTTGTTCCTTTTAATTTACTTATAGTTTTCTGCGAGTAGTCCATTACTTGAATAGTTTATTACTAGCACACTGAATCGGGCGTCCGCGTGTTTATTCACGGTAGCCGAGTAAACACAATACACCCTCGTTTGATTTCGCATTCGCAGGGCAATCCGCTGTATCACAATCCGACGACCGGAACGATAATAAGTAATCAGAGCCTGGTGCTGCAAAGCGTCACTCGCAGTAGAGCTGGGATTTACACGTGCATCGGCAATAATCAAGAGGGCGACGGCGAGAGCAATCCACTGAACTTGGACATAAAGTGTGAGTATCTGTTACACACGTAATACACATACCGACATTTCTCGCATGTCATCCGCCATAATCTCTACGTTGACGCTCTAATTAAACTATTCTCCGTTTATTATCGACAACAAAATCCACATCCGAATCTTTAAGATGCAAACATTTTTTTATCTTTATGAGAAAATTTGATATTTTGATTTGAAATATTTGATTTGAAATAAAGTCTTGTTCCCATTTTGACGAAACATCAAAATCTCATCGATATGTATCTCGCCAAAAATTTTTTGCTCTTTATAAATTCGCAAAAGATCGACCGTAAACATATAAAAAGCGAAAGCTTTTCAAGATTTGTATTACGGGAGTAATTGCAAAGTTTGCACGTGTAATTTCTCAGTAGTCTGTATCTATCGATCGAGGAATAACGATTCTGGTGGAAATGCCCGGGAATGGAAACACGCCGTGTTGTCTTCCGAATCTCTAGAGTCTCTCTCTGGCACTGGAGTTAATTTCTGTGTCACTGCGCGCGCGTTCACCGCACCCTCTGGCACGTAACTGATACTGACACACCGGTATGCGCGGATCGACGTTAAATCAGCTTAGGAGAGCGCTTTGTTTACGAGGGGACATAAATCCGGCGCGTAGACGACGAAACGTCCGCGAATTCGGGGAGAGCGCGGGGCGAGATCTTCCGCTTCATATCGACGTTTAATATCTCGGCATCGCGCACTATAAACGAAAACGAGCTTTCATAAAAGCTGCTCCGGGGCAGAGAACCGACCGGCTATAAGTCAATTTCATATGCGCGCATTATAACTCTTTTAAACATTATAAGCAAGTTTGGACAGCTTTTTCACAATGTTTAAAAAAGAAAAGATTACAAGCCCAATATTAGAGTTTCAAACGTTGCAAGTTATAAAAGCCGAGATATTATGGACGTAATAGTGGAAGTTATTGTACGATTATAATTAGCGGATTTTATAGAGGGACGAAAGAAATCGATAATAAGGTCATTAATAATATTTTTATCGTACCGAGCCCTCTCAAAAAACTTACCACTTTATTTCTCCGTTTATTCGATGTTAAAAATAACTTTGTATAAATTTTATAAATCATAAGTAAGGTCATTCACACGGATATATATATATCTCGATAATAAAATAACGCAAAACTATTAGACAAGAAATTACCGTTTTCACCGCGCAATTCGTATGAATCAGTATGAATTTATTACAGTGATGTACGTGAGTTGGCCCCTTTTTGCGCACGTTCCAAGGAAAATGTCTTTCACCCCCGTAAAGTTCAGCGAGCGCTAAATCACTCCAAACGCTTTACATACATACCAACATATGCGTATAACCGAGCTGTTCCTCTGCTCAAGTCTGTGTATTGGTGTGTAACTTACGACTGACTGACATACGCCACCGTTTATATAGCAGCTGCGCTCTCATCAGTATTTAGTAGGTTCAATGCACATAAATTATCCACAGCTAATCCGTGCACAGATTAATAGTTGATCAGTTAAAATATACATATGCATGCTTATGTATCTATCCTCTTCTCTCTCTCTTTCTCATTAGTCACTATATCGCAGAGCGTTTGCTAATAGATCCGTCTGTTAAATAATCAAAAATGAAAATTTGATGCAGCTATTCCGAACTTGCAATTCAATTTTAGCGAAAGGAAAAATCACTCTAAAAAATCAGAAGAGAAGGAAAAAAGTTACAAGTTTATGTAACGAAAGAAAAATATGCTAAAGTTATTTAAACACTCTCTATTGTAAAGCGCGATGATCAAAAAATCCGTCTTTAAATTTACTACAATTTTTACTATTGATTTCTACAATTTCGCAAAAAATGAATTTTATCGAAAAATTTCGCTTCCCTTACGCAGAGTGTAACAAGTAAAATGAAATAAAAAGAATATTAAAGAATTTTATTCACTTGTGAATGTGCAATATAAACGAAATCTCCATCTTTAACTGTTGTATTTTTGACTTTGGCTAAAGCTTTGACTGAAATTATTGCGTCGTTTCGCTAACGTATTTTACTCTGCTGTAATAGCATTATGTTAAAATAGATTTTATTTTCAAAGAATATATACGTCAGAATAAAAAAAATGTCGAATGCGCAACGCGCGCTCATCAAATCTTTATCATCAAATATTCCGTGGATTTCTGCGCGCGTACGCATTTCCACTGGGAGACTTTGGCGAAAGCTACGAACGAAATTTTGCGTAATTATCCTGGTGCGATTATGTTGGTTTTAATAACCCTTTTGGCAAGGTAAACTGCCGAGTCTCGTGAACGTCGAATGCTCCCGTATAATCCGTATTTTCTTTGTTCTTCCCCGGGCTGAAGCCTCGCTATTTTACAGCTAACTAAGCGGCTTAAGATCTCGGATACGGCAGAGTTCGAAGAGAAGGGGAGTTTCTTGTGCCACGCGCATAATTATACCTGCTGAAACTGAATTAAAATCTTAATCTTAAGCTACGTTAGCCAGCCGTCCGCACATACGAATTCGCAGATTTTCCGCGTTCGCGACCGAACTCGCGAGATAAAATTACGCTCGATTGAAATTTACGCGTCATATTTATATAGCGCATCATACATATATTAAATATGCGGATAATTTTAATATATTTTCCACCGACAGATTGGAAATTCGAAGAGGACAGAATTTTCGCGAGTTAAAGAAAAAAAATAATGGAGATAAAAATAAAGATAAAAAATTCATGTGCAATTTTAATTATTATCAAACGTAATTCTCTTTGGAAAAAATATGAGCACGAAATACGAGCACACGATTCGAAACGATAAACAACGAAGAATTTGGATAATGCGGAATATTCGCGAGACAAGCTTTTTGAAAATATTCCAACTGTACTTTCTAGATGGAAAATGTGTTTAACAATTCACGATCCGCAATGCGTCTCGGCGTCTAACGTTCTCCTGCTTTGGACAAATCGATATCAGCTTTACAAATCGAGGATAGTCGACGTTTATATTTTTGTTCGATTTTTGCGTAATTACAGTCCGCGGGAAGAGTTTGCGCTTCCGCCATTGTACTAATTACAAGACAAGCATCACCGTTAACAACCTGTAATTAATCCGTCGAGTCTAAAAATTCCGACATTCAACTGCCCGTCGAAGTTAACGTCAGACTTAATCAGAAGGTTTTAAACTGGAGCGCGCTGCAATTAAAAGCGATAATAATAATTAGCCAGGAGCGAGCGGTCGATAAGCTTATACATGCCAACTTGCTATCACTCCACGCATTAAGATTAAAAGAAAAGAGAAAATTGACGCGCTACACAACATTATGCAATGTAATACAGTGAAACGTGATACGCAGCATTAACATAAAACTTTAACAGCACGTAAGAAAAAAAAATCTGTTTATTGCGAGCTCTGAAAAAGGATTTTAAATTTTTAAGGTGAACGAGAGAAAATAGCGGCACTGTATTTATCCGATTGACAGATGACCCAGCTTGTCGTTTCAATCGAAAGGATACAATGGCCTCATACGTCAGATATTTTATTTCTGTTAATAAAAATTTCATGTCCGGATGCGTATAAAATTATATTGTTGTCAAAAATGTTTCGTTATCGATCAATATCGCACAAATCGAACACGTTGAAAGAATAGTTGTCACGCGATACTATATGTCTTTTTTTCCACTCGTATCGGGTAACATCAAGTGGCTACAGAAAAATGCGAATGATATTTTATATATATATTGGATTACGTTACAATATAATATATATTCTTCATATGACGTTATTATTATAATAAAAATACATAATAGTACATTTTATTATCATAAGGCTGATTATTATAATATTTCTACATAATATTATTCCAAGACACAAAACACGCACATGCGAAATTCCTTCCAGGCGATCTCGTTTTCGCTCATCGTGTACGACAGGGTCTCGCAAACATGCGGTCCTTTAGCCGGGCCCTGACGCGCGTGCAAAGTAATTCAGGTCGCTCAAATAGAAATTGCGCGATTAATGCTTAATTATACGCCGCGGCAACTTTGCGCACCAGGACCGTCATATTTTTATCACGCGACTTATAGACACGCGAGCTCCTAATGTATAAAATATTAAATCCTTCATTTAACGTGACTCTAAATCGTCTGATAAAGAAAGTTATAATGGATTTTCTCCTATTGGCTTTCTATTAATTATTTTCTCAGAATCTCTTTTTAAGAAATATATTCTACCGATGCGTGGAATTATTACAATATAAACGAGAAAGAAGTGATTCTCGCGCAGAAAAAAAAATCAATTTAAAATAATCGTGGTACAACGATTATTTCCATAGGAATATTTTACAAAAAAAAAAATGATCCTCTTAAAGTATCGTGAAAATTCTTTTATTCTCGGAATTCAAGGGAAATTTATATCAGACGCATGCACTGAATACGATTACATCTCTCTTCTCCTTTCGGCCAATCGAATCGTATATTTACATATAAATATAAATACGACGTGTAATTCATATCCGGAGCTGCATAAATTTCGAGAAATTTTATACGAGTGTACGCGAAATTAACTGGCGACCTTTATCCATAACATGATAAAAGGGTTGACACTTTATTTCGCGCGACAACAAAATTGCGCCGATTTATAACCGACTCGACCCGACGGAAGTAGATACGTACGTCATCGGTCAGCCGGCATGTTATCGGCGCAATATGCACGCTTCGTCCCGGAATTCGTTTCGCTAACTTTAGATTCCGCTTGTTGTAATTTAATTACGACTGACGGACGAACGCAAACTAGAATGCCGCCACCATTGCCGTTGTTGCCACGGCCCCACGGCTGCCATGAAATACGTCAATGAATTTATCGCAGCCGCCGACCGGACATTTATTCGCGCTGCAAAAGTGAATTCGATTTCTCCGCGCCGGGCGTTTTGATTTATTCGCCGTGATAGATTGGATAGATTATGTAGCACAGTCGCGGTGAAAAAAGCCGAGCCAAGACGTCGCCCGGATGGCGAGATCGATCGACGTGTAACGTCACCCAATCTGTAATCCTCTTAACAATGTTCCGCTACAGAGAAATCGGCGGCGAAATTCTTCGAGAAATTCTTTAGTCTCTCCTTACACCCGAGGTCCCTTATTTTTCGTAGCTATTCTCACGAAGAGACTCGGGGAGAATGCGCGTGTTATTAATTACACCCTGTATAAATATCCCCCTGCGGATGATACGCGCGATAATTACGAAGATCCATCGATCGATTGCCGCGATTGAGCGCAGCCGAGTTCGTTAAATCAATCGATTACATCTAATTTCGATAAAATTCTCCATGGGATTCTCTTCTCGTAGCCTCAAGCATGTTCGGAATGTTTGACGCTTTGTCGGACCGCCGATAAATCCTACGGATGACCATCACGTGCGATACGAACGCCACGATATGACGCTCGATAACGTTCCGTCGAAGATCTATCTATCGATTGAACGGACGGGGGCGTCTAACTGGGTCCATTAACGCCAGCTAATTAATGTATCTGATTAAGCAAGGCATCGACGCACATGTATCATCTCAAGTCCCGACCACGCGTTCGATCCATATATAATAATACCTCTGATATCTGGATATATAGAGTCCGCGTATTGCCCACGTCTCTCCAGCATAAGCTATGCGAGAGCGTATTATACATCGTCGCCACGACGCGGGCATAAATCTTCGTTATTTGACGTAATGGCCGTGCCACACACGCATACACGCGCGTCGTAGATTATTATTATTATAAATTTCCATGACGCGTACAGGGTGACGGTTCTTACGAATTTCAACGCCGGGCGCGCGATGTACACCGCGATTGACGAAGATTCACGATGCAAATACCGCAAACATAGAATAATACACCGGTCCCGCGCTCCTTCGCGCTCTATCGGCCTGTACAGGATGTCCCCGGAACTAATGTACCGTTAAATCTCTCAAGGAATCTGTCATCGGCAGGATATCCGATAATTCTTGGCTCAACGTTTATCCCCCCCCCTCCCCCTCTTCTCTTCTGCACGTGTTCTATGAGATGTACTCGATGTTAGACATTTTGAAAGACTTTAACGGTCTATTGAGCGTAAGTTTACTTTTCGTTAAGCGTTTCCTAACTCGTTTTATGGCGAAATACCTTATTTCATGTGTACAGCATCCCGTGCACCGATCAATTCGAATAACAATATTCTTATTTTACAGAATTGGATCTCTGCACTTTGTATATATTGTTAAGAAGATATTCTTCTCTGCTCATTTTAAAGATTATTGTTATTGCACAAAAAATATAAAAAATTGAAAATTCTCTGAAAGGATAAAAGATTATAAAATTTAATAATTTAATTAAATAATCGATCAAAAAATTATAAAAATTCTAAAGCTAAAATTTTCATTGGTTCGAGTTTTGTTTGAAGCCTGAAATTATTAATGGTACTTCACTGGATTTTTTTATTTGAACTTGTATGAAAAGAGATTGTGGAAGAGATAAAATTACATTCTATGCAAATAGCTCGAATTATAGTTTGAAAAAGAGAAAAAAAAAACTATCATATTGGTGGAGATACGCGTTTTTCGCGCAGAAATGGAATCATTAAAAATAGATTAACATATTTAATTATGTATCAATTCTTATATACACATAATTTAAAATTCCAGTTTTCTTATCTAACACGCTTGGCATTAAAATTCTGCAAGTTTAAACTAATACTTAAGATCTTTTATCAGAAGAAAAAGATCAATTCTGGCTGTCGCGCAGATAATCGAGATAAACTCGTTCGTATCTCCAAATAGAACAAAAAGCAAATCCCCCCTCTCCCCTTGCTCTCTACGTTTCCACATGTACGTCCGTGCGACAGATCGACGTGCATTTTTCACGATGCAGGCGATATTGCAGGCCCGTGAAATGAATTATGCATACACGACGCAGATATCATTTCGATAGCCGCCACGGACGTTCAGCGTGAGCGATCTGTCACTGATGCTTAATGACCGGCATTAATTGGTTATTGTCAGTGCCTCGGCCATCGATCCTGTATCCTGCGATATCGCGACGCATTCATTCTCCTCGACCATTTGCTTTTATTCGGGAAGAGATACTTGACGCTGACAAAGGAGGTCATTTAGATTAAAAGTCTCCACTTCAGAAAAGTTCAATCCAATTTTTAAAAACGAAAAAATATGCGCTTGTTTTGCGCACGTGCCAAATTTAACCATCCCCGACGATAAAATCTGCATTTTGCCTTCGTAATGTTATGCGTCCATTTCGCTGATGCATATATCGCGAAATATTTCCTCCGATGCCTCTGATTTAAAAAAATCGAAATTTCTCAGTATACTTTTATTAATTTATTATTAAAATTTTTATTTGATTAATAAAAACTAATTTATTTTCGAAGAATAATATAAAATAAAATTTCACATTTAAAATATATTTTATATATTTAAATTTCATATTTAAACAAAATTGTGATGACAAAAGTTTCAAATAAAAGAAGATATAAATCTCGAATGTTTACAAACATCATTCCGATCAATCAATTATTGAGGCTCATTATTATTGCGTGTAATATTATACGATATCGGCGTACACGTGAAAATGTAAACTCACCATGTAAAACCCCTTCCAGTCATACGATCACGTAAAAACTCACGAGTTTTCGTGATCTTTATGACATTTCGACTATCATAAGATAGGACAAAGGTTTCGTCCACCATATATAACAGTGCGCGACGGTTGGCTTGGCAAGACGCGGAACATTCCAAGCAGGATCGCCAAGATCGGACTTCTTTCGACAACTGTGCAAAGTACAAAGGAGATGCAATACGCGCGGACACCGGATACCGTCCGGAATTTTATGACTGATCTAATCAATGAAGGGTTCAGTCTCGTTCTATATGTGCGCCGGATATATCCCCGCATGCTCTGCGACCCTCTACTTCCACGTCCGAAGTATTATTGAATTTCCCGGACAAGAGGCGGACTGGACTTCCGCCCTGAGTCGCAGGGGATCCTTTGTCAGCTTACACCGAATATCTTCTTTCGTCCGTGGAAGTGAATGTCAATTGCAGAAACTACCGGAGATAACGATCGATCGCGTGCCTTTAGGTGTAAAATGCGTTTGTGTGCGTTAAAACGCACCGTTTCGCGGCTCGTGGCGTACAATTGTTTTAATTTTAATCAATTGTTACAATTGTTTTTGTTTTAATAGCATTTCGGTATCTTTGCAAACACAGGACGGTTTATCTTTTTCGTTCAAACATATCAAAAAATTAATCGATGAGATAAAATATACATGTGTATGTGCGTGTGTGAATATTTCAGCATCAAACGTATTTGTTTCACTTATTTTAACTGTCGTGTTGCTTCAGTCTTTCAGAAAAATCGCTTGAACAATATTTTATATAAGGTATTTTCTTTTGAAGATGTATAATCAATCATGTGTCAAGTAGCAGAAAAAATATAGAGTAATATCTTTCATAAGAGATTATGTCACAAAGTATTTCTCAAACTTCTTTTATATATATAACACACATCCTAAATCAATCTTGTTTTCTCATATATAAAATACATCCTAAGTTTTTTATTTTGATGAAAAAGACATAAAGTTTGCTATCGTCATTTTAAATATGTTGATATATCGTGACAAAATTTTTCAACACTTATAGAAATGTCTTAAACTTACTTACGCAGTCCCTTCATTTACGCGAATCGTGACGCGAAGTAACTTGAAAATGTTATACTTTTTACTTTCTACGGCATTAAAAAAAGACGTATGTAGTCGGAAACTTATTTTCTTACCGAGTAACGACGTATTTTCAGTTGCCGTGAATAAAACGGAATCAGCGGAGAATATAATGGAGGAAAACATTGTTCGAGAAAGCGTACGCGAATCTCCCTCCCTCTCTTTCGTCGCTGTGTCTGAACAATGAAGACATGCTCTACTAATGGTGCACTGTTGCAATATGTAGATTACAGAATATATACATGTATATTGTGTATTATGTATATTACGACGATATCAGATACCATGTCGACTGAGGTTGACATGAGGGACGGGGGAGAATAGTTGCACAGACATGAATTCCATCATTAATGTTTAATTACGGGTAGTGCTTAATAATCATGTTAGTGGATATCAGATTGTGTATCGAACCCTTTCCTACATTGTGGAAACATTAATAAAAAGGTATACGATCACGTTACCGAGGAACATTTCTGTGAAGGCTAGACTCATTATGAGGATACCAATCATACTCTTGTTTAATTTCAGAGATCATTGGTCATTTAAGCATGATTAATGCACGAACTGTATACATCAAGTTCTACTTAAACTTAAATACTCGACTTTGTTTCATGTTCGCATACTCGATGTATAATTTGTTAAGCCTCTTCAATCTCTAATGTTAGATAATTCTATTGATATTGATATTCCAACATGAAACTCTAAGCGCTATTATCGTCATTATTATTGTAATAACCACAATCAAAAGCTGGGAATTGATACCAGGAAATAGATTATACATACGCATTTCCTCTTAAATGTATCCGGTTAAATTTATCCGGTATGTTATTAAATTTGAATAACATCGGAGCGGCGTATATCGAACAAAATATCGAGCGAAAGTGTGTTTCGGTGTTTCACGGGTAATTATTTATCCGTCGTATATTTGTAGCCTCGCAAAAGTAGAGCTCGTCCACGTATATATTCTCAACGCGCAGTTTACATTACATTTTTGCAGTCGCTCCGGTATGCCAGCACGGCCAGATGAGGGTTTTCGGCGTGGCGAAACACGAGATCGCAAATATTCCCTGCGAATTGGAGGCGAACCCGCCAGAAGTATCGTTCACCTGGAAATTCAATAATACGATGGAAGCGATGGATATACCTCAGGCAAAAGTCACCAGCGATCGTACACACTCGACAGTCTCGTACGAACCGATTAACGACCTGGATTACGGTACTCTCCTTTGCTGGGGCAGCAACGACCAGGGCAGTCAGCTGGAACCGTGCGTCTTCCATATCGTACCAGCTGGTAAGTACCAGCTCGACCTCTTAGTGAGCTTTCTTGAAAAATTAAAGCGTACTTTGTTCCTCCTCGCGCGTTTTTTTTTTTTTACAAAGGATGTACAGATGCGACGTAATTACTCTACGTAGATTATATTGCGATATATTGAAGACAATGCTATCATATATATAACAGCATTATATAGCGCATCAATCATGTAACGTATTTCGCGAAGCCAATTAATGCTGATAGCCGATGTAATTAATAATTTTATAAATATTTGCATGAGCAAATGTTTAAAGCGTAATTAATTAATATCATAGATGGACGTCTTCTCGAATGTAATCGCACGCCGCAATTGGAATTTTTATGTTAAAACTACGCAAATATATAAATTGTACGCGATATGAATTACAAAAATTATTATACGCGACATTCGATACTTTTACATGACTCTATAGTCGCTGATATTATTATCGTCGTCGCGAATGAATAAATCAGAAATAGAATGAAGATGAATGAATATTTCGATGGGGTTGCGACCGCGACACAACTTATTTAAAAGACAACACAATCGATTCCTCGATAGACGAATGTCACACCATTTCGAAGCTCTTGCAAGGTGCATTCAATAGATTCGATTGCATTTATTCTCCCTGTCGGCGAGACGACACTATCATTCGGCATCCGATGAATGCAACGTCCTGGAATTCGCTACGTTTTTATCGAATTATCGGTGACTCAATAAACGTTAAAGTAGATCTAATGTAACTTCAATCGACTCTGTTTTTTGAATTCTTGCTTGCAATTAATCTTGCATTAGTATCTGAAAGCTACTAATATAGAGATATCAAGAGATAATAACATTTGGGATAAGAGAGAGAACTCCCCAGTAAACATAGGTTCGTAAACCAAACGGTTAAGATAATATAGTCAGACATCTGTTATCATGGTTACAGGAAAACACTAGCTGTTACAATGTTCCATAACCGGCAAAACATATTTGGAGATTAATTGACCTAATTGAATCGTTTATTAATTAATTAAATTCATTTTACTTATATCTCTTGATAAAATTCTTTTTATATTATTTTTATTATCGGTCTTTTACTTTAATCACATAGTTCAAATCGTATATTATTCAAACTTGAATATTACAATATGTGTGTAATTTTTTATTCTTGTTTTTTTCACAGTTTAATAGGTGCAATTATTTGCACGAGAATCGGAAAAATATTGTTACGACTTTTTATATTCAAACATCGCTATTTTGTCAGCGTTTTGTAGATTTTCATGTACTGAGAAAAAAAATCGTTAACTTGACTAAATGCGTTTAGCTGGTTATTATTCCTTTAATTGAAATATTGAAATATTTGACATAAATAGTACTTAAATATTTTAATTATAAAATGGTAACTAAATTCATTTAACAAAGTTGACGATTATTTTTCCTCAGTATAACAGTTCAAATTTTATGCCGATAAACTTTGTTTTAATGCGATTTTACATTTTAAAAATCTTTACATTTTTACCTCATTAATACAAATAACCGCGTATTTGTGTTCCCGAGAAATATTGAGATAAAAATATCGCTACAATTTTCATCCAATGGTAGATAAAAATTTGCGCTTAAGTGGATAAAAATAAAAATAAATTAAAGATACGTGCTTTGTCGCGGATGAAAAATCGCCGCTCTTATTCGTTAAAGGCCAATGACAAATCGTAAGCGAACGTAGCGATATGTGATAAACGCATTTTAGTGCTCGGCTCGGTATTAAACTGCTGGAACGAGTAATAAAAAAGCATCATTAAAACGTGAACGTTAAATAAAAAAGGGACATTGTGATTTGAGTATCGTGTAGTTGAACAGATATTAGAGGCTAGCTAAGCTCGTTGATGAAAGACGATCAAATCTCGAAGCGCGCACGAGTCAGTTGCATTGTCAGCAGTTTTTTTTTCAGGAAGTTTCAACATCTTCCAAGATAATTCTTTTACGGGAGATATTTCGATGACGTTCTAAATTTATATAATTCTTTATGTATAGATAAATTAATATTGAAAATATTAAAAAAAGGTATGGAAATTACAACTTTTTTTACAAAAATATTAGAATATTTCTAATTTAAAAGTTCTTTCTATAAATAATCTAAAAACGCAGGTAATCTAAAGTTACATGAATCAATCAAAAAAAAATGTTAAGTCAATTAATATAATCGATTAACATTGCCATGTTTAATGGCGTCAGATTCAATATCAGGTTTTCTTCGTGGTATCGTGGCAGAATGCCTTTTGAATTCGCTAATTAAACATTCATTTATGCTTGTTAATTATATCGCTAATCGACGCGTAAAATCGAGCCCGAAACTGATCGCGCGCGAATTCGACAGGCCGCCCGGACACGCCGCACAACTGCTCCCTATTGAATCAGACGACCGACTCGATTTACGTGGATTGCATCGAAGGCTTTGACGGCGGGTTGCCGCAAAAGTTCACCATGCAGGTGGACCGCGAGGCCGGATCCGGCAAGGGCGGCCCGGCGACGGTCTACAATCAGACCAGCAAGACGCCCACCTTTTCCGTCAACAATCTGGACCCCGGCAGCACCTACGAGGTCTCCATTTACTCCACTAATGCCAAGGGTCGCAGTGAGACCGTGCGCTTTCGGGCCACCACCCTGAATCTGCCCGAGAGACGAACAGGTGAGTCCGTCGCGAGCGTCCGAACAACCGAGCCGAGAATCATAATCGATCCGCGGTTAAATCGTCCACGATGTAATCTTATCAGACGATTCATAAGTAAGTTTCAAGCGATGCGATCGTTCCGATGTGCGGTATCATCAGATAGAGATTGGAGGAAACGTTTCAAGGAGGAGCTTCGCCTTTCGAGTGGAATTCTGACTTTGAACCGCGTATAATGTAGCCGCAATAATAATAACGATAATAATGACAATAATAAGACGAGTGATAATAAACGTTAACAACATTACAATATCATAATATCATTAATAGTCATCATGTAAAAGATTCAGAGACATTTTTACGTATCACTTGACTCATTCAAGTGTGTCTCCCAATTATTTATTAGATAATTTCTAACATGTGCTTTAAATTTTCGAAATATTTAGCTTCTAAAATATTTTACATTTTCGTTATCGTCTCAAAAGAAGACCTCGAAACATTATCTATAAGTAGTTTTTACATTTCATAACTACGTTATTCTCTCAATATCTCATAATAGACCGTGTAATTTATCGAGTAGCTCTTAGTTTCGATCGTACCAATGACACCGTAACAATATCGCTCGTATACTTTGCCACCGCGATGGTAAAATGATACAGCGCGTCGTAAATGCACTGGGAATATAAACCGGAAAGTGGAACGTATAAAGGAAGCATCGTACAGAGACGGATATTGCTTATGAATCGATCTAAATATTTTGAGCACTGCTCTCGCTACGCTGCACGGCCTTGTTGCATCGTAGAATTCGTGTGAACATCGTTGATCCTCTTTCTCTCTCTCTCTCTCTTTCTCTCTCTCTCTTTCTCTCTTTCTCTTTCTGTCTCGTGCAATAACATCGTAACTCGATTCCAGCGGTTTTTGAGTGACCGCGTTGAAAGTTTCGGGAGTGTATTATGCCCATAATATACATGTATTCGTGTTGATTCGCGCGAGATCATTTAGAGAGTATTGCATCGGATATTTTTTGAATATTTCTTATAAATTTTTTCCTAGAACAATTCATTAAATACAAGATCCATTTTAAGACAAATTTTAAACGCAAGTTTTAGTTAAATATAATAATAGTGGAAATATATTTCGAAGAAAAGTTTATATAAAATATAATTAAAAGTAATAATTAAATTATAAAGTAATAATTAACATCCTTCTTTCGTGAATTTATTAATTTCCTTAGTTAGGAGAAGAGGATCAAATAATATTTGCTTAAGATATTTGCCATAATAATTTAAAATTAATTACAATTAAAGCCATGATAATAGAATTAATTGTAAATTAAAAGTGAGAAAGATATCGTATTAAATTTTGAAGAGGTCGAAAGTATTTCCTCTAAAATTAAAACAAATGAAATCGACTAAACTTTATCGTATAATATTAACTAAAAAAATACTTCATCAATAGCGTTATCATCCATATACTCGTTTAAAATTTTCTATAAACATTCTGTATAAGGGCAAGAAAATATTTTTCGATAATATACGCGAAATGTGTGTGTGCATCGTATGAAATTTTTCTTGCAAAATATGTGTGCACGTTTGGAGAGAATACATGTTTTTTTTTCTTTTTCTTTTTTTGCGAGTTACGATGATATTGGATCCATTCGTCTGTCCGAAAATTCGCGGCTATTTCAGCAAATGACGGTATCGTCTTTTTACTTGGATCAAAGCATACGTATGCTATGTGATGTGAAATTGTAATCGTGTTAGAGTTTCGTGTAGACGATTGCATCGAAATTGTGTAGCAGACTTTTTATATAAGATGTGAATTAGAGATGCATACATCGACACACGGCATATACGGCGCATGAGCTCATCATCAATGACCGTTTCGTACCCTCTCAATCATTTCCACCACAATATCATAAAATATATTAATAAATATATACGCGAAATATATACGCCAGATAATTAATAACAAAATTGCACGCATCAATACACACATATTGCCTCGAGAAAGGAGATGCACTTATTTTACAATGTGATTTTTATTTTTTGATCGAAATGTTGCAAAATTTTTTTATAAATCTCTCTTTTTATCCGAATTTTCCGATAAAATTATTCGTACACAAATATTTTTCTTTCACACAAGTCTATTGTAAATTTAATAAAGAGATAAACAGTTTTTTCGAGGCATATTTTTCAATAATGCCTAATCATTATTATACAATGTTTATTGTTGAATAAATTTGATTCGAATAACTTAAATGTAAATTATAAAAATTCTAATACATAAGAAGAAACGTATTTGTCTAAAACAGTCTGGATTTTTAAGCTCATCCTCGTGGCGAGAAGTGCATTCTTGATAGTAGTTTCACGCTGCAAGCCCATTAAACAAATTTCACGGCCTAATTTAAGCGACGGCGCGACCCCACCGCATTCTTCTATCTAATTGCTCACGATTAACCCACCGGCTGGCACGTAGACGGACGTTAAGCGGCGTTACGCGCATTAATAATGCGCGGCTAATAGGCGGCGCGATGGCGGAACCCGGTCGGCGTCGTCGTTTATCCGCTCTACTGTGGCCCACCGCGCAGTGGATCGTGACAGGGAGGTAAACCAGACTGTAAAAGGCTTTCGTATTTTGCGTCAGCTGGCCCTCCTTTGTTATAAATCGCCGTTCCTTACGGTACGCTCGCCCGATTTATATCCGACTCTATTGCCACCACCCGAAAAAAAAAATCAAGTCTCGATGCAGGTTTTGCGAAAAAAGAAAATCCGATTGTTCGACTGTTACAGAATGTTCCGAGAATGTTTGGTCGAACTTTTGCATATTTTTACGAATCGTATCGATGAAATAATATTATCGCACGAATGTAGAAATTTTTTTCGCGCTACGGGAGCTAAAAGTCTTATACCTTGATCAATCATTTGCGTATCTTCTCGTTTTAGATTTGATAGAGAGCTGAATTCTTCAAAATTATAGCGATTTTAACATTTGGGGAAAAAGATACTTTGCGCTCGTTCGGTATAAAAAGCTATGGGCTGCGTCAAAGGACTGCACGCCGTCGAATGGCAGCTTTCGAGACGATAAAAATGACAAAAATGTGCGCACGGATCGGTTCGTCCCGCTCGATGAGTGGCAGGTATCGATTGCGTTTTGACGTTTTGCATTAAAATACGTCGGTGCGCGTAGCGTGACGAACGATTGGCACATTTCATGGAAAATCCATCGGTGTGATCGAGCTCTCTCGAAAGAGATCGCGCGTCATCGAATTCATGGAAACGCGAGAACGCATTACGGCGGAATAATATTACGACTGATTAAGCTTCGGGTACGTGTGTCTTGATGATCTCTCCATAGACTCCGATAAATTACGAATGAAACGCGAGAAACGAGAGAACCTCCGTGATCAATCAATCTCTTCGCAAATAAATCCTATTCGAGATAATCCCCGGCCAGTCGCGAAATTAAAAAAAATTAATATATCGTGGATATAAATGTTCCATTTCCCACTGAAATATTAATTTAAAACGTTCCAATTTTATTCCATTGTTACATTTGTCGATTATTTCTGGCAACTATAATTTCTTATTTCTCGGATTTATAAATCGGAGCATTTTTGTCTAAAAGATTTCGTCAATGTTTCTTCAATCACAACGTGATTACGCAAAGTTTATTACTTGAAATAAATCTACTAGATATCCACTCTATTATCTCGAGTATACTATAATAACACTTTTCATCATTTATCCAGCATACCATCATATCAGTGATATCGATTACTAACCCTCTTAGTAAATAAGAATTCCCATAAAACGCATAAATAAAACTCGGTCCCGCGTCGAAACCACCCTTGACATCCCGAAACTACCTCACGCGCGTCCCGTGAAGATCAGTTAGACGAAGCCTGAGGCTGGTGTGTTGTGCCACTTCCGGTAGCAGGTGAAAGGCTGGCGCAACCCCCCTCGCCGGAGAATTGCACGATCCGGGAGGAGAGCCGGACGACGGTGCGGGTGAGCTGCGCCGAGAGCGAGTACTTCGATGCGAGCACGGCCACCTACGTGCTGCAGGTCTTCGACGCCAACACCAGGCATCTGCTGGCGTCCACGACGAGTCTGACGCCGAGTATGATCGAGGTGACGAATCTGCCCGCCGACAGGAGTCATTCCGGCCTCATGCTGTCCCTCAGGATCATGACGGCGCACGCCATGAGCGAGGCCACGGTTCTCCACAGTCCGCAATTTGTACCGGAGGGTAATACCCAGGAGCACCAGCGTCACCCAGGTAGGGCCCAGATACACAATGGATCTCGCTCCTCGCCCCGCCCCCTCCCCTCGCTGTGTATACATTGTACGTCTCCACGCGATGGTGCTTTTCAAGATGCGAGCAATTCAATCCCGGTTAAGTAATAGCAACATTGCCGTTATTATGATCGAGCGAAATAAAATTAGTATTCTTGTCGCTAGCGTTCATTTCAAATTGTCTCAGCTGGATGAAAAGAATTCTTGGAGAAGAATATTTTCGCGATCGCGAGATTCCGAAATGAATAATAATTCGCGACTGACATGCGTTTTCATTCGTATTTTGAGTATTTGTCGATTGAATTTATACATACTCGATTGTATCCACTCGATTGTTTTCAAAATTTTTTTTACAACGAGAAAGGAATATAAATAAAATCCTCCGCAATAAAAAATATATTGTCATACATCAATATAGATATTATATTAGGGGAACAGATTGTCTATACAATTTTTATAATTTGTTCAAGTAGTTTATCTGTTTTAGTTTTTGCTTGTGTTATTGTGTGATTGTTATTCGTATATTCGTATATTCGTATAATTTCGTATTATTCCATGTTTTATATTTTTATTTTTTCCAGCTTAAATTGGCGAGATAGCAGTATTTGCTAAAACGTGAGATAATCATTAATATTTATTTAAACTCGTTTCTCTTCAATTCTTTATAGAAGGAAAATAAATTAATTTTATTTTCAAAAAAGGTTCGCAAAATCATTCTTAAGCCGGTATTAATATATCTTTATTTTTGAATAGATTATAAATTTTATTTTTATTAGTCAAAACACGGTTATCAATACTATATTTTTGTACATCTGTATTTCGAATCAATGGAAGAATGGATGTGACGGCAAACGTTTTATGGAAAAACGTATCATCCGAAATCGTGCTACGCGTAGCTGAAACAAGCTAACATTCCGCATAGCGCGACTCGTTCACGATGAAAATGTTCAATCACTGGAAACCACTCGACGTGTCAACATTCCGGGAAATTCATCACGAAGTATCTCGAAATTTGCATATTTGCTTTGTGCACACGTACTATAAATTTTTTTACCCACAACCAACGAGAGGAACTTGAACCATCGAATTAAAGGCAATCACTTGGGAATCCCGCGATTGACTTGTAGAAATATTGTTACACTATTCGTACGACACGGTCAGATCTGCATGCGCCAGATTTGCGTTGAAAAGAGCGCAATTCTCTATTATGCTTCACGGTCATTGTTGTGAAAAATTTGGCCTGTTTTTTGATTAAACTAATAATGTATTCTGTTACTGCCTATCAATTGCTATTGTATTTTTTGTTTTACTATACTCCAGCTTTTGCTTGCGAATTTTCCCCGCACGTGTATATGAGAGACGTGTATTTTTGCTAATTTTCTCCTATCATATATACCATTTAAAATACAAAAAAAAATAAATATACAGGTCGAAAAGCATTGCTGATGTTTTTGCATGTTAATTCTAATCTCCTTTTTAAATATAAGATTTTAGGAAGTAAAAAAAAATACCATCTTTTTTTTGTTACGATGTCTCTCTCTCATCATCGTGATGTTACATTTAATTAAAAACATCCCTAAAAACATCCCGTAATTCCTTGTTCGTACTTACATGCAATAATCTCTACAATTTTTTTATCACATCCGAGAAACGATTTATATATCAAATATAATTTTGTTTAATAAAGCAACATAAAACACAACTTTATAAATAAATTTTAAAATTTTGAAACATTATCTGCTCTATTTTTTATCTATGTATGAATCGCATTTAATATGTAATATAAAGAAAAAATATATAAACGTGGCTTAATATTTCTCTAATATAAAAATAAAATTTCTATAATATAATAACAAAAACCAATCAGTTATTTCGCGTGAGAAAATAAGTTATGTAATAATTAATTATACCTTCTAATTTTATATAATTACTATTTTTCGTGTTTACTATATAATAACTTTTCTCTTTTGAAAATATCATATATTATTTCCATATCTATTTCATATTTTATCCACGATAAAAGATTTTTTATTAACTTTATCAGATATAAACTTTGTATATATATCATTAAATTAATAAAATGTGCATCTCAAAATACAATAAATTAAGATAAGTTTCATGTCATTAATCTCAATATTTTATCGCGCGAAGCATTCTTATATAAGCTCAGAAAGCGCCTCTTTTGTCGAGCATTATCATAAATACATCCAATAATCTCTCGTCTTCTTTCGTGCTTGTTTAGTTTTCTCGACGGCACTCGCGAATAGTCGTTTACATAAACAGTTTGTCTCCGTTACGCTAACAAACAGCGTATTTTGTAGCCGGTAAACACAGTGTACCCGCGTACTTAAACGCGATTATGCTATTGCATTACACTTTCGTTGCCCGCGTTTACGATATACACAGCGATATTATAAACGACACCGTGAAGATAATACGGCGAAGATATGCTAATCGAAGGTCTCGCCGTATTCTTGAGCGGAAGTCAGGCTTACCTCGGCGCATCCTGCGAACAGTTAGCACGTACACGGAAGAGCGAAGTCGGGGTGAACTTGTTTCCAAGGCACACCGCTAAGGCGACTGCTCGCTCGCGCATGTACACCCTGTCGAGGGGCATTCATCCGAAATTGCTCTGCGGCCGAGTCTGATCTTCCCGAGTTTGTCAAGAGACACGCAGCGATGTACATAAACAACCTTGAAGCGTATCGTCAAACGTGTCGCCGAGATCCTTAGACGAATGTGTCGTAAATAGGATGTGTCATGAATATGAATTTCCAACCACTTGTGATTATAACGTCTGATCATTAATATGTTTAATTCACGAACATATAAATGCGACAATGCATTTTATAGAATACAGAACACTTTACTCTATCTACTCATTTGCTGTTTAATAGACAAAAAATTTTAAATGTTTAACATGTTTGTAGTATGTTTTGAATATAAAATATGTTTATGTTAAATATCGTTATATAATTTATAATTTTAAACTCGACAGTTTAATTATCGCTTTGAGCACGGTTCAATATATTGTTAACATTTTATTTACTTGTACAACTTTGCTACTATTATTATAAATCAACCTAACAAGTTGCTACGGTTAAATAATCTCGAGTTTCCCGAATGAGATAGATTTCGTGAGGCAACATTAGCGTGTAACACGAGAAAGTTGCAAGAACACCATTTTCAATTAATCTTTCGTAAATTAATGGATAAGGTCACACCGAAGCGGCTTAAGTTCGAAGACAATAAAGCTGCACGCACAAGTGACGCGTGCAACGGAACGTGGAACATTATTGCGCGAAGAGCTCGAGTCATGCACCAAAGATTTGTTCACATCTATCTATCACGTTTGGTAAGGCCAAGTCTGGGATAAAATCCGGAAAATATAATTTAAATTATGTAATGTAAATTAATCTAAAGCCCAGGAACGAGATCATTAATATCACCTTATTATTATATGAATATGTAGATTATATCTTTTAGTAATTTTTCACATCTTTTTCTTATTCATATTTTAATTTTTTCCTAAATTTGTATAAAATACAAGAATACTCTATAATTTGAAAAAAATAGTGTAAAATCTGATAAATTTTACGAGAGAAAATATGAATAAATAAATATTGAAAAAAATATTTTCTATAGAACTCTTTATATGGAAATGTACAAAATTTCCTTTTCATTATTATAGAATGATATTCTAAATCTGAGTAAAAAAATACACACTGATACAAGTCTTCCGTAAAAAAATTATTAATCGATTCAACTATCTTATATTTTTTAATATTATTTAAATGTCTTTCCTCATCTTCTAATATAAATGCATTCGTAGAAAACTCATATTCATATTCCTTATCTACTGTACGTTCTTTGAAACTGCATTCAAATAGAAAAATATGCTTAAGATTCATGCATACATTTTCCATGCACGTACAGAGAGGCATAAATTCAAATCATCATTAGCTTAGTTTGATGGTCGTGAATGTTGACTCTGCTTTAATATCATCTTAGGAGAATAGAAGCAGTAGAGAAAGAGAGAGAGAGAGAGAGAGAGAAAGCTCCAGAATAGGAACAAGCAGCAGAGAGGCATTCATTTAACGGAGTTCGCAGATATATAAGTGGGTTTTGATTAGCCTCGAACTTGAGTACCGCAGCAGTTCGGAAGCAGAGTGCATTTGAATTCCAAATTCATTACTAATGCGGTTGTATGATCTATGATCTGTGCAAACACTCATCGACCACGTATTTGTGATGGGAAGAGGAGGACGGAATTATTTTTCGACAAAGAATCCCGTCGAGAAGACTTGTCTCTTATGGAAATGGTGTGTACGCGGATTTAGCATCCGTTGAAGTCGCTGCTTGAATTTATCTATCTTAAATATCTACTTATATTAATTGGATAGGAAACTTTGACTTATATCGAATCTAACTTTTTAATCGCATTACATTTCGAACAATAATAAATTTGTAAATCAGAAAACGAGAGGACTTGGCACAAGAACAAAGTGCGATATAAATTGAGATGGAACACGGAGAGAGACTCTTTTTTTTTTTTTATACGAACACAAATTATTCGAATTTTTAGCAATGCTCGCAGAGATATAGAGTTGTGCGGATTTTTCAAATGCGGTCAAAAGGCGGTAACGCACACGGCAGTACGATAGTTCGATCGTCTCTAAAATACGAGGAGCGCGTGATAAATTTTCATTGCATTCCGTAAATCGGCCAGGTCGTGATAAACTCCAGGAATGCCAGTGCGTAGGAATTCAAACGAAGCTGCCTTTACGATCGCGTCGCAGTTAAGAGAAACGTTATACGTGCACATTTTTTATGACCACTTTTTACGGGCCATATGCCACACACACACGGTATATCCGGCATATCTGAGTACTTCCTAAAGTATCAAGAACATATAGAATATTTCTGAGATACACCACTCTTGCAGCATAGCGTTCTTCCTCGCTTCCGAGTTAGATTTATGAACGTTGCAAGCTATACTTTTCGCAGACTTTAATTGCGCGCGAATCAAGATCTCCGCACAGAATAAGATTCGTAAAATCCTCGCGAGTGAAAATATATTCTATCTTGTCATTTTTTTTTTCTCTGTTCTTCTTAATCGAAAAAAGTTATGTGTCTTCCTCCTGTTATTTATCATAGTGTTCCTTACATCGAGCACGTGCATTAGTTCACGCGATCGTCGTAATTTGTCATAATTTGCATTTATAAATTTACGTGACACTCGTTCATGAATATTCCCGACACGCAAGGCGCGCGTATATTTTTTTTCTTCCCTTTTTCTCGGGAACTTATATTGCATGTTCCTTCCCGCATAATAAAAAATTATTCAACGCATTAATATTAATCAAACTATAAGTAATTATTGGGAGAGGACTAATTGTAAGACGAATTTTGAATTTTCTCCGCGCGAAAGACTCAGATTTTTCGCACAATACGATTTTCCGAATTCGGTCAATTATGCTTAAAATAATCGAAAAGTAAACAAAAAGTTAAGTAACTACTTGAGGTTCTTTCAGAATTTAACAGATACAATGAGATCATATAAGAGAGAGAGACGTTTTCACAAAAATTGAGAATGCTTTATCCATAATCGAATCGACATTTACACAGAACGTTCACGACGCAGTAAAACGATTCTCTTTGTCGCGTTTCATGCATTTTCCATCAGGTCTTTGTTAACATGTTCTTTTAACAATGCGCAAAATAAAAAAAACTCGTTTCTCGATGTCGAATAAGACTTGAAACGATAAAACATCACTTTTTTAAATTTAAATAACGAATAAGTTATTCATGCAAAGGATACATAGAACATCTTCGAGCTTTGATCTTTAATTTATATTTAAGCAGAATACTGTAAGGATAAAAAAAATTAATAGAGCTAATATATTCTTCGATTATCATAATATTTTCTGATCGTTTTTTGATCGAGTGACCGAGGAATTTCTTAATCAGTTGTATTTTTCTTAGTTATATGTCTTAATTATAATATTCAATGTTGTTGCAACCATTTTTATTCCCTTTCGAAACGATTTAAAAATTCGATCTGTCTCCACTATTGTCTTCCCTCCCTTTCTTTATATTTGCGAAACAATTGAACACAATTTGCAGCCCTCTCACCAATGCTATCGTTGTCGGGTCCACTGTTGGGCGCCGTTGTGGGAGCCACAGCGGGGTTGCTCTTGGTGATCTTCGTGATCGTGCTGGCTGTCAAGCTGCGCTATCGACCCCGATCTCAGGAGGACTCTCATGACGACGGCGGGATGGCGAACCTGGCGGCATCGGGGACCGACGCCTCGTCGCCCCGTGACAAATCGTCGACCTTGCCCCTCAGCGCCGATAGCATCGAGAGCTTTGAGAAGAATCCCGACATAATACCACACGCGAATGGTAGGCGAGAATACCTGTCACTCTCCACTTCGCAGCATGCCCCTTGATCTGAACCAGAGTTTATTCTGGGAATTGCATGATAAACGTATATATACGTGCCTCGCTCCGTATAAGACGAATCGCTCCCGTTATCGTCGTTATTAATCACTAGAATTCTCTTCCAAAAATCAACCGAATTTTTTATTTAAATCTAACAGATATGTATAAAAGCTTTATATTTGCAATCAAATTTATATAATTATAGATAAATTACTGAACTCAATTATCGCGAAATGAAATAAATTTATTCACATTCTTCAAAATTCAATCGCAATTGAAATCGCTTTCGTGAAATAATTATAAATTTCCCAAAATTTAATTACATATGTATATTTTAATAAGAAACAATCTATTTGATGGTACTCATAATAACAAGATTAAATATCTGCCTTAATTTTTTTAATTTTAATAATATATATCAAAAAATAATTAAAATGTATTTCTTACACATTTTTAGTTTTATATATCAGTACGTAAAAAACAGTTCTTAGACTAAGATATCTTTTAGAACAAGAAAATTTATAATTTCGATTGCTATCAGTTGTAATCTCTGTATCTTGTCTTATTGTAGAAAATTCATACGCGGAATTATGCAAAGGGACATCACCACGATACGTACTACAACAACCACGTCCAGACACGAATACCTTCGCGACGACAAAAAACGTAAGCTTGCAGAGAGATCAGTCTGTAATTTCTATCATTATATTATCTTATTTCTATCATATCTTATATATCTATAAACTAAATATTATATAATATTATACAATTTATATCCAAATAATTATTAATTATAACAATTAATTTGTAATATACGCTTAAGAGAAAGCGTCTTTGATGGCTTTAGAAAAAGCATCCAGAAAATGATCTCAATAAAAATAAATCTAATAAATCTTCGATGTGTAAACCTACATTTAATTGAGATCCAAAGCAATCTATGCTTAGATATTTCGAACAAATATATAAATTTCTCAGCAGGGGTCCGAGCTAACATATGCCGAATTAACGCTAAGAGGAAACCGGCGAATACCTCCCAATTGCTACCAATCTGTGCAAATCTCCGGTATCCAACGGCCCCAGCTGCTGCCCATGTCGACTTTGACGCGAAGACAACCGATCCAGGAGCCAACGATTTACGCGCAAGTCGCCAGTCATTCTAAACCGATTTACGTGCCACCGCCACACCCATACATGAATCGTCCTAGCGACGAAACTACGGCGGAAACGCCATTGATCGGACACGACAATAAGGTAATAGGCACACGAAGCACTTTGTTAAAACGCTGACAAGCCTTGATAGGATTATCATCCTACATTCATCGAAGTCTACGTACAGGATGATTCAAAAATCAGTGCAAAAATTTCAAGAAGTAATGACGCGATACCGATCCTATGTTATATGACAAAAAATATTTGTTTTGATTTCCTCGACTATCTCTTAAAATTTATGCATTGACTTTTGTATCATCTTTCATACATCTTCCAAAATAATAGATAATGATTTGGAGAAGTTTCTATTTAAATTTTCTCTTTAAATAATCTAAATTGATTATAATTCTCTCTCCAAATGATTTAAACTCTTGTAATTAAATACTCAAATGATAATAATTAAAATTACAATAATTTATATATATATATATATATATATATATATATATTTATATTAATATTAGAAATTTGGAAACTATTGATAGACAATCTTGATTTTATATTTGACTATCCCCAATCGTGATATTTTATAATAATAGAAAGTAGGAAAGGACATATGTGCAGTGAAAGATATACTAGTACAAGAAAATACTATACAAGTACAGTATTATAAAAGTCAAAAAATACAGTACTATAGTGAACATTTGCTTAATCAAATAATATACGAATATCATAATGTAATCATAACACATAATCACAAAATATAATATAATAATATAATAATGTAATCTCATATCATTAATAAAATTATATAGGAACTAAATCCTTGTAAACAAGATATACTGGATTCGTAAAAGAAAACTTGAGAAGAAAACATTTTATCATTTAGAATAACATTATTTTTTGCAAACAAGAAAATAAAGCAAGATTTAATTGCGATTCTACATCTTTTCTAGATCACTACGATCAGTCATTCGGGCAACTCGATCTGGCGTACCGATACGCCACCCTGCTCAAACGCGCCAACGACATGATTCCAGTAAGCTACATCGTAATTCACGATTCCATTTCACTCCTAAACGTCTCTCAATGTATTCCCCTCAGAAAGAAAAATAAATAAATAAATAAAAAGTGTATACATACATACACATCGATCCACGTACGTGTTAAAAGCGAAGAGTAACTTCGAAGGAGACGCCACGGTTTCCCCTCTCCCTCCCCCCTCTCTCTCCCACTGATAGAAATTGTTAGATCTTTACTACGAGTGTTATATAAATAGAGGATTCGTTCGACAATGAAAGTAATTAATAAAATCGCGCGGAGTATATATATTATACGTATAGATTATATATGCGCTTTCCGAATGATTTGTGATAGTTGATTGGTTGGAGTGGGAAGGATGAACTGTTTTTCAACCGTCCGTAAAATTCGAGGCTGGGCGAATTAAATTTTTTTTATTCGGAAATGGAGCATCATACGACTGAGAAAATGTTAAGAAAATGTTATCAGAGTTCGCAATAATTATAAAAAGTATAAAAACAGATGCATGTCATTCTAAAAAATTGTAAGTCTCTTTAATTTATATTTATTTAGATGCTTTTCTTTTTAAAGATCAAGATATTAATAATGCTAATATTTTTTTTCAAAATAAACAACGCTTCAAAAGATTATTTATTGCTATTTAATTACTTGAGTTAATTTAAACGAGTTGATTTTAATTTGCAGTTAAAAGTTAAAAACTGAAATAACATTTCGCCCGCCTCTGTGTGTGTAAATCAAATGACGATGGTGGATCGCGAACGCAACGATTTAGTGTGATTGGTAGGATAAAGTTAGTGGCGCAATTATTATTCCGATAATAATTCAGCATCTTATAAATTCTATGTATTTATTTTCAAGTAGAGAGTAACTTTTTTTATTTTTATTTTTGAAACATATAAAATCACTGGAATTCTAGAGATTATCATTTCATTGTGATTGAAATAATATAAATTTATCTTTTATTTTTCATAACGTTAAAACGTGTGCTGCATAATTTCGAAGAATTCTATTGCCTCGAAATATTTGAATTGTGATATCTGAAGCACTTATGTTATTATTAAATAAATGAACATGTCGAAGATTCCGATATGTTATATTACGTATATTGTAAAAAAAATATGAATTTTAAAAGTGAATTAAAAGAGAATTGAAATTAATTCCGAGAGATTATTACTGTATTACTGTGTTACTGAATTATCGTGCATCGGACACATGTCAGAGAGTGTCTTTACAATAATTCCTTTACATTTTATTATCTACTCATTTTTATTCTCACGCAGAATATTAAAATGCAATTAAAAATTAAAGAAATGTGAAAATTCTCTTCAACATATTTCCATCTTTTTTATTGCTACATATGCTCAAGCGAGAAGCGATGTGCGATTTTTAACATCGCGATAATGGAAAGAATGCCTTCTTTTTCACTTTGGTTTTATAGTTACCCGCTACTTGTGTAGTACTTAGCATAGGTTGTTTTATTTGTCAGATGACTTACCAGAGTAGAGCAGAATAGAAATCGAAGAAGAGGGACGGATGAAGTGAGATAGTGCAATTCCGAGGATCATAACCGATTATTGACGTAACGAATCCTTGCGAGCTTCACTTGCAGAGAGTTGGATGAAAACCTGAGAAGCAAAATGAAAAATTATAGTGATCATGTCTGTCATGATGATAATCGTAAAGAATCTTCGTGGAAATTTTGTTACGTGCGATTCTACGAAGACTGATTGTGAGTGAAGCAGACATGCAAGATTCGTAACGCATGTAGGTGCCATATAACAGAGACGGGCTTGTTTCGAGTTATGTTTGCTCGATTGATTGGAAATCAATTTAAAAAAATGGTATACTCCGAAAATATATATACAGTTAAATTTCTGTTCAAGATTTCTTTCTACAGCATATATTAAAACCGTATTAGACTGAAATTTAGCAATTATTTTTGGAAGAATTATTTTTTATCCTGCCTTATAGAGGTTAAGACATTTAAATGAGGAATACTTGATGAATACGAAGAGAGATAACTGTTAAAAAAAATAGTATTTAATAAATGTATCTTTATATTTAACTCAAATTTAATAATTTATTAATTTTTTCTAATTAATTTCTTTATACATTACATTTTACATGCAAAAGCAATAAAGATTTTAGATGTTCCCATTTCAATGTCTCATTTTTTATGTAAGAAAGTAAAAATATTGTGTTGTAAAAAGAAAATTTAAGATTTTTTCGCGTGTAATCTGTTTATTCTCTGTTTAATACTATCAATTAAGAGTTTATATAAGCTTTGTAGCTAATGTAAAATCATGTTTAACGATAGCATAATAAGTAATCTATCTATTCTTTAGATTACTCTAAACAATTTTCATGTGGTGAATTCAAGAAAATGTATTGAATTATAATATAAATAGTCGCGCGCCCGTCTCTGACGTATGAGTTTATAACAATGGGAGTGATGTAAGAGAAAAATTAAAAAAAGATAAAGAATTTATACGCCTTTACTTTCTTCTTTATTTAGTTTGATAGTAAAGTAAAAAATAAATTTTACATCGCTCTCATTCTAGTTAACTCATAAAATGTTGCGCGAAAGCTGTTGTTCGAACGAATTCGATATTGTTGTTGTATAGTGTAACGATCACGATTCGTTTTATGGAGGACGAAACGTGGCTAAAAATGATGTCGATTGTAATAACGGTGTTCGCGCGTTAACTACTCGTATCTTTTCTTATATTGAGGAGATAACACTCGGCAATGTTTGCGAGTTTAAAATACGAATTTCACTAATTAATATTTACCTCCATAAGAAAAAGAGTGCCGAGCAATGCAACATAAAAGAGAGAAGTTGCAAAAATGTATAAAAAAATCTTTCAATCATTTCATCCTTTCATCCTTTAAACATTTGTAATGATATCCTAAATGTAAATGATACCCTTTTACAACTTTTGTGTTTCCTATTGTCGTACAAATTCGAACAACAATAATTTATAAGATTTTTATACAATTGTTACATGACTTTTTGTAATCGTATGGTATAAATACTCTGTTTAAATATAAATTTTAATCACTTTGAATCACTTTTTCCGAAATAGTAAATAATATAACGCACTATCGATTAACACAGAATCCGCTATATTCGCTCAATGTCTCAAACTATTCGCGATGTAGATGTTAGAGAAATCAGAGATTTCACATTCGGCAGAATGCGGCAATAAAGAATGTACCATTAATCATAAGCTAATTTACTTGTATCACTTGTAATTATTAAATTATGATAATTATGAAAAAACACAAATATGTAGAAAATAGAAATATTTTTTCATAATATTGTATGTATTTATTTATGATATTTTTCTCTCGCGACGTATACATTTTAGCATTAAAAAACAAAGTTATCTATTTTTAAGTTACACTATAAAAGTTATTTATATGCATTAAAACACTTGAAAAGAAATCTTTTAAAATAAATATTGGAAAAATAACATTTTGAATAAATGATAGAAATATCAACGTGTTCTGACGTATGCGAGCTTTCTGGTTTACTTTAAACAATGAGATAATTGTCCTTTTCGATAAAGTCAACGATCAAACATGTTCGAATAACTCGAGTCGGAGCCCTATTTCTAATATAAATTTTACAATACTTTGTAAGTTAATAGTATAGCGAGAAAAATTCATGATTCGTGCATACGCAAGTGATGAATAATAAATAATAAAGAAATAAATATAAAAAAGGGAATAAAAGACAGTGGCGGTAGTTACGCGCCAAAATCAGAGATTCCGTATTTTGTCAGATAACTATAATTATTATATTGCCAGTGTAACATAAGACTTTGATATGTATTGTTAGTATGCATCGTGGGTATTACAAAAGAATGAATTTAAATATAAAACGTACATTATACACACAAACACGTACACACGCGCACAACATACAACATACGAGCATATGTACACGTGTGTTTGTAAAGGATAACTTAAGAGATATACAATATATATATATATATATATAAGCATAATTTCAAAAATAACTTTTAATATAGATTTACTTGTGTAAAATATAAGGAGAACTAATTGTGCTCAATAAATTTCAATAAATAACGATTTTGCCTATGCCAATAACTATCATTTTTTTACTGCAGTATTTTTTTTATTTTTAAAATGCACATTATATAAAGAGATATAGATATGTTTCCGAGTCCAATAAAAATAACTACACACTAAAAAGTACCGCGATACAGACTGTACATTATTTTTCAGCAAGACACACAGAGGATACAGTATCACAGTGAATCATTTCATCCTTGTTTACATTCAGCAATCAACAAGGATGAAATGATACATTGTCTTCTGTGTCACTTACTGAAAAATGCTTTTTATTTATAAGATAATATTTTTTCATTACATTCACACATTCCTAAATAATATTACATATATACATATATATGTATATATAATAACTAACCTTTTTTTATTTCAATTAATTTTATTAACGATTTAACTTTATCGATTTGAAACACATCATACCTTGTACTTCTGTTTATTATTCCGAATGACACTGCCAGTAGTATTAAATCTATTCTATATTATATTATATTAAAAATTTACTTTCTACGACAATGTAAACTGCACTTTACCGCTTCAAATGAGATATATGAATATAGGTGCGTACGCGCGCGTTCGCAAATAAATTCAAATTTACCACGATATTTCCATTACTTCAGCTATATTCAAGCGATCGCTCATAGCATTATTCCATCCTTGTTCGCCAAAAGTTAAACAAAAAAAAAGATAGACAATACTCGCGATCGTTAAATGGAATGTAACAATAATAATCACATCTCGAATTCGCCCTTAAAAGACATCTTATTAAAAATTTAAAATATCTTTTAAATATTTTAAGATGCTTTGAGCATTTGCTCATTGCTTGAGCATTCACAAATTCTTAGCACAAGATAAGTATAAAAATGCTGCGTAACTTTTACAGATTCAGATATTAATCCAAGATTGTCACAGAATTATAAAAGCGACGATTTTATATAGATCGTTTTATTTTATTGTATATATTATATATTTACGCAATTCAAATAACACACAAGTTATAACCCGGTTTTTACATTGAATTTTGCAGCAATTTATCGATATAAAACATATCATACCTTGTACTCTGCTCTCGAACAACATTGCCAATTACAGTACGAGTCCAATCGTAAATCCGAAGCCTCTCTTTTGACGATATATCCACATAATAAACCACACTTTATCACTTCAAAAATTAATACGCACTACGTAGACGCGCGCGTCAACGAATATGGTCGGTTCCCCCACTGCTCGGTCACGTGACCGATTTTAGTTCACTCCCGTTCAGAATCTGAGACAGATGGTGCTGGTGAAGCCACATGACTTTTACAGGTTAGAACATCGAGTAATTGCATTTTACATACATGTATAAGGACGGTGATTATCACGATTATTGTCAACTGTAAAGTAATATTTTAAATAAAATGAATGTAACGTGCAAATTAATACGAGTATGCAAACGTTTCGTAAGTACTGAGACGAATTGTCAAGACGGAGCGAAATGGATAGAGCCAATTGGTTATCAAACTGCAGTGTCTGTATATAATCCGATAACAAAATGCAAAGTTCCACTGATATTAAAAACAGAAAATGTTTTGAAATGGTATATGTGCGGGCCTACAGTTTACGATTCGGCGCATATAGGGCATGCAGCGTAAGAGATATCACTTGAAAAATTTTATCGCGTTATTTTGTTATATCATTATAATTGAACTTACTTTGTAGTTGAATAAATAGCAGTTTGACATTAGTATTTAATTTGAAAAGATTATATTTTATATAATTATATTTTTTTATATTTTATAATATAACATGCTTTATAATTGTCAACATTCTCAATAAGTGTTTTATAATTCCTCGCTTTGATTTATAAATTAGTTAGAGTATTATAATTTGTACAACTTTATGCTCTTTTCTGTTATCACTACAAAATTTATCATTTAATTTGTTTATATGTAATGAAGATTGTATTCTGTTTAAAGACGCTACTTTGCTAATATATATATAATTTGAATTATTTATTACGAATAACTAATGTTTATTATTTTATAGCACTTACATAAAATCGGATATTATTCGAAGAATTTTGTCGAATTATTTTAACATTGATATATTACTAGTTATGGGTATAACTGACATCGATGACAAAATAATCAAATGTTCTATTGAAAGCGGTAAAGATTTTAAAACTTTGTCGAAACACTTTGAGACTGAATTTTATGCAGATATGAATAAGTTAAATATTGGCGAACCGTATTTGTACTGTAGAGTTACAGACTATATACCACAAATCATTCACTTTGTTGAAGAATTGCTAACCAGAAACTATGGTTATATTACAAAAGATGGTAAGAAACTTATTAAGAAATATTTTCATTATTAAAAATTAAAAATTTTTTTAGTGTTATAAAAAACTGCCTTCAGTTGATTAATTTTTACATCAATTTTCATTTTAAAAAGTTGTGCATGTTATAGGATCTGTTTATTTTGACACAAACAAGTATAATAAATATGGCAAATTAAAAACCTCTGTTCATGATGTTGTAAAAAGTCAGCATCCAGATAAAAAATCAGCATTGGACTTTGCTTTGTGGAAAGCGGCAAAAAATAATGAACCATCTTGGAGATGTCCATGGGGATATGGTAGACCAGGATGGCACATAGAATGCAGTGCAATTGCAAGGTAATTTAAAAAGTGTCTGTTCTATTTCATATTATGGAAATTATTTTATATAAACTCTTTGAATTTTATTTTTGAATTCGTATATTTACTAGGATACTATATCTAACTTATTTTTATGAAGAAATATATTAAATATTTCTCTTTGTAATAATATTTACCTATATATAGAAGTATATATCTTCATCAGCGCAGTCTTTGGAAATTCTGTAGATATTCACAGTGGTGGAATAGATCTGGCTTTTCCCCATCATGAAAATGAAGAAGCACAATCATGCTGTTATCACAATGTCAATCAATGGGTTAATTATTGGCTTCACTGTGGTCATTTGAATCTGAAAGGAGATGTAAAAATGTCAAAAAGTCTTAAAAATACTATAAGCATACAAAATTATCTCGAAGAATATTCGGCAAATCATCTTAGAATGCTTTGCCTACTTTCTCATTATAGAAACGGTATGTAATGTTAATATCAATTTTCAAGTAATTCAATTTGTATGTAATCAATCGAATGTTATTACAGATATTGAATTTTCGGACGAAGTCATGCAAAATGCAGTATTAGTAACTCAAAAATTCGATAACTTCATAAATGACTGTGATAATTATGTTGTTGGCAAATTTGAAACTGGTGATATTGATGAAAATCTTTTATTTACAGTAAATAACCACTTTTTTCATTAGAAAATTTTTTAAAATATTTTTTTATACACACTATATTCTATGCATTATACAAAAACTATATATACACCTACACATACACAACATATAATCTTATATACATTGTAATTAAGAAACAATTGTTATAACATAATTTGAATATTTTTTAGACCTTATATGATACAAGAAATAAAGTTTATTCCGCATTAGCAGATGACTTTAATACTTCAAAGGCCATACATGCCATTATAAATCTTATTGGGATAGGAAACAAAATGCTGTATCAAAGTAATGTAAGTCATTTGCATAAGAGAAATTAAAGAATACATTATTATAAAAATTAATATTAAATAATTATTGTAATACTTCAATTATATTTAGCAATTATATTCAACTAAATTTAAATTATAGATAACGCCTCATAGTAAAGGAATAAGTGCTGTTGCTGCTGTTTCAAATTATGTTTCAAGTACTCTTTCAAAACTTGGCATTTCACGATCTACAATGTCAACAGCAGAAAATCAACAAATTAAAGATATTATTGATTGTTTTCTGAACTTCAGAATGACTATCAGAAATAGAGCACTTGAACAAAATCCAAAAGATACAATTTTGCTAAAAGAGTGCGATAATGTGCGAATGAATTTATCTACTTATGGAATTGTAGTAAAGGTAAAGTTACATAAAATTAAAAATAACATTAGAAATGTTTATAACAAATTTTATATAAGATTTATGTTGTTTAATCAATATAGGACCAGCAAAGTGTCACTAATTGGAGTTGGAAATAGCATATAAAAATCTATGTAATTAGAAGTTAAATAAAAATTTATTAAAATAATATTTTTAATATTACATTTCATTATTAATTAAGCAAATAATGAGTTTAGTCTTCAACTTTTCTAAGTTTTATTGCATTGTCATTATTGTCATCAGCAATTTTTCTCTTTTGAATACTTTTCTTTTCCGATAATGTTTTCTTTAAACCTTTCATCTTTCTTGTTTGAATCTTATCAATATTTTGTGTTCCAATATGTATACGACCATGTGTTGTTCCAAGTGTATCTGTAGAGATATTTTTCTTCTTCTTCATCTATGATCATGATTATAAGATTAGATCTTAATATTTATAGATTATATTTTGCACATAATATATATATGTAATATATATATATATATATATGTAATTTATGTGTAATATATATGTAATATATATATGTAATTTATAAAAGTACCTTGAGTTCTTTAGGTTTCTTGCAAGCTTGCTTGAATAAATCTTCAGAAGCAAACTTGTTACGCCTACATAGCAAATCAGCTCGTGGTCCTATTTCCTCAAGTTCTATCCTAGGTATCCTTGTATTGGATTTTTTCAAAAGTATCCTAAAATTATAAAAATTTTTGAAAAACATTTTTTGATATAATTATGTAATTTTATTTTAATGGTATTTTTATATCTCTCTCTTTTACCTGTAACTACGTAAAAGTATTTTATTTTCAATAGCTGTAAAACTTAAGACATGTTCAAGACCTTGTAATCTGATCCTTCCAACCACTTCCCTTTGGAACATATCGACAAGTAAGTTTTTAATTCTTCTATATTCATAGTTACTTTCAAAAACTTCACCATTAAAAATCAACAATGGTTTTATTCCTAAAGAGACTTTTTCAACTTTAAAGTCTTTTAGTCCTTTATAATTTTCTATACCAAATTCTATCATATCTAATAACATATGATCATACATTCGACCCATAACGAGGTTGTTTGGACGTTTTTTATTATGCGAGGCCATCATGAAAAGAGATGCTTCATATTTGAATGCAAATTTCTCAATTGGCACAATATTTTCAAATGGTAATATATCATTTTTCTTTTGCATCATTTGTGCATTAGGTTTCTTCAGATCATACTATAAAATATACATAATATATGAATAATATATTAAATACTATGTAGTACAGTATATTTATCATATTTAGTATATTCAGTTTCAAATTATAGTTTTAAAAAATTAAATAATATATAATCAATACAAATTATTTCACTCACCAAATCCTTCATAAAATCGACGACATTCTGTGAAGTATTTTTACCTTTAAGGCACAAAGTTTCTTTGGCATTTTCTATCAATTGAGGTTCTTTTTTTAATAGAGCTTTCTTGCCTTTATGTGTAATTGGCTTTCTATGTGGAAATATTCATAATTATAATGTATACACATTATAATGTATAATGCTTGTATAAGCTATTAATACATGCAAAATATATATAAAAAAACAAATAACTTACATCCTATTTATAACCGGCATGACAAAATGTTCTTTTTAAATTGTCTTCTTATTCAAAATATAAGATCACGATTAAAACAATTATTTCACTATTGCAAATAATTTATCGGTGTTTATATGATTCTTGATTCACGTGTAACATATAACGTGTAAAAAACAGAGCAAATCAGAGAGGACTCGGTTTTCGCGCATGCGTCATGAAGGCGTTATCAAAACATCACTCTTTGTATTGGATTACAAATGAATAACATTCGAGTTTTTCTCTTTTTTTGCAATAATCCTTTGCTAATTATGAGATTATATGATTTCATACAATATTATTAATATTATAGGTAGAATTTGATATTTTTATAAATCAGTGTAACAATATTATCGCTTAATAATTTTCACTGTAGATTTAGTTTTAATACTTAATACATACACATAAAAATAAGAAATTTATTTTAATGTGATTTAAAGAATATTTATACGAATTTAATATTTTAAATATAAATTTTATACATTACCAAATGTTCTCAAATAGTTTATACACATATCAAGATAAAACTTAAATTAGAATATAATAAAAGAGATTATATATCACATATATAAACATATACTTTTATATAAGTATCTTTTTACAATTTTATACTCATATATTTCAAAAAAACTAAAGAAATAAATTTGATCGTAATCTCAAGAAAAAAATTAATAAAAAAGAATAAAGCGATGATATATAATAATTCGACTAAATAATTGTGTGAATATTGGTAAAGAGAAAGACGCATGCGTGAATCGCCTGTTTTGTAACAGTATACGTGGTGCCCGGCCGTACAGTAATACCGCAACAACAAGTTGAAAAAAGGTCCTTCATTCGGATTCCTTAAATTTGTCATGACAAGGTCGACGAATCTATCGAATGAGAACACACAGTTAGTATAAGCGCAATTCGACGATCATGGATCAACTAATTATCTTAATATCGGCAATGCATCTATTATATTGTCCGTTTACAAAAGTCGAGGAAAGTTTCAATCTGCAGGCTATGCACGATGTCCTCTATCACGGCTTCAATTTAACGGAGGTAATGATTGAAATATTGAACATCATTGTCTGTCGAATCGAGGACTCGAATTGTTTGGCGATCGTTGTCCGTCTCGCTCGACTGATTGCAATCGAACAGCGTAAAACGTGTCGTTATATTTATAGCACCGGACACGTGTATTTTTAAACACGCGATCAGCTGATGCTATTCCAAATCTTTTAAGACGATATAGCTAGTAGATAGAAATCGACTATCTTCCAACGTTCATTTTATATATATATATATGTTGTTACTATTAGTATCTATCATAACAATCAGATCTATAATTTTTAGATGATTTCTATATAATTATCTATTTAACACAAAAATATATTTGCAAATTAATATATTGTGTTTTTATCTCAATAGTATGATCATCATGAATTTCCTGGAGTGGTGCCACGTACTTTTCTAGGGCCTATTGTAGTATCCAGTTTTGCCTGGCCATTAGTAGCATGCAGTAATTACCTGAAGCTCAATAAAGTTTTTGCTCAATATATAGGTAAGTAGTGTATAATTCTAAAATATATAATAAGAATTTTTCATGTATTTTTAAAGATGGTATTATCTTCCGCAGTAAGAGCAACATTGGGGTTTCTGGTGATAGTTACATTCAAGTTATATAGACACGCTTTACAGAAAATCTTTGGGGTGCAGTTTACAAAATGGTTTGTTGCCATAACTGTGACACAGTATCATTTCATGTACTATCTCAGTCGTCCGCTGCCAAATACAATGGTTATGCCTTTAGGTAATAAAACTTTGTTATTAGAATTTGTATTTATTACTTTAAAACTACAATTTATTAAGTTATAATATAAGCATGATACTACATATAAGTATAATATATGTTCCTCTTTTTAATTGCAAATGGATTTAATATTATAGTGTTACTCGCCTTGTTTGGATGGTTAAAGCAAAATTATATAATATTTATCTTATCATCAGCTGCAGCAATAATAATTTTCAGAACAGAACTTGTCCTACTCTTGGGATTGTTTGTATTGTTTGATTTAGCTAGGAAGAAGGTTTCTCTACAAAGGTATTTACAAATTATATTATGGATTTACAGCAACATATTATGGATTTTCTATACAAAGATATTACATATTATGGTGTATGGATATCTAATATAGCTGTAAAATTACAAACAAATAATTAGAATCATTAAAGAATTTTTTACAAAACAGTAATTATATATATAAAATATATAAATCAAATCTCATCCTTTGATTACAAATGATTACAATTTTGATTAAAGAAATATTTCATTTTTTATGTATGTGTGATGCATAATACTCTTTTGAAATTATATTGTTTATTACACAATGTTTTATAATAATTTTAGACTGCTTAAAATTGCGGTTCCAACTGGTATATTCTTCTTAGTACTTACTGTTGCTGTAGATTCAATATTTTGGAGACGCTTAGTATGGCCAGAAGGCGAAGTTTTTTATTTTAATGCTATTCTTAATAAGAGCAGTGAATGGGGCGTATCCTTTTTATAATAAACCTTTTTTTTTTAATCTTCAGTTCTAACTTAAATAATTATTTTGATTATTCTGAATATCTTAAATAATTATTTTGATTATCTTGAATATCTTGAATATTGAAATTTATTGCATTAAAGTACGAATTATAAAATAAAAATGTTTAAGATATCATATATTTTTGAATAAATGTTTTTATCTGCTTTAAGTTTTTGAACAGGCATTTTCAATACATAAATAAACTTGACTTATGAATAGACATCACCATTCTTGTGGTACTTTTATTCAGCATTGCCGAGAGGTTTAGCACTTTCATACTTTTTAGTTCCTGTGGGAATGCTTTTGGACTCTAGGGTTCGCATGTTTACCATTCCAGCTATTATATTCGTCCTATTATTATCATTTCTACCACATAAAGAGCTAAGATTTATCATGTGTGTATTTCCGCTATTAAATGTTGGTGCAGCTGTTGCTTGCAATAGAATGTAAGTATATGTTCTGCTTTAATTACATTTGATTAATTTTTTATCAATTTTATCAGTTAAACTAAGACCAAAATATAAATATTCGTAAAATCTATAACGACTATGACCTAATGATAATATAATAATTGATTAAATTTTAAACTATAAATTCTTGTAACTGCATATAATATAAAAAATGTTTTTTTGTAATTAGATGGGAAAACAGAGCAAAAACAAAGTGGAATGGTTTCCTTGCACTGATAATCATGACTCATATGGCATTAAATATTATATTCTCTACATTTCTATTATATGTGGCTGGTTCTAATTATCCTGGAGGTGTGGCAATTACTAGATTACATAGAGTCGAGAGAAATTCAATTGAGCCAATACATGTGCATATTGATGTATTCACTGCGCAAACTGGAGTAACAAGATTTACACAGACCAACTCTTCTTGGATGTAAGTTATTTTGTCTATAATAATTTTTTTTTTACTCTCATTATTTTCAATGAAAAAAAACTTTATGTTATAGATATTCCAAACAAGAAAACTTAACTATTGATAATCCTGAAATACTACAATTTACACATCTTTTAATGGAAGCAAAGAGCAAATATTCTCCAAAAATAAGGTCTTATCTTAAAACCCACAATATTATTGATTCTGTTGATGCATTTTCACATATAGCATTTAACTATAATATGTTACCACCTATTAAAGTTAAAACAAAACCTAGCATATTTATTATGAAAAGGAAATCAAATATCACATATGATCCTCATAAAGCAAAATCTTCAATTTCTGAATTAATAAAGAATTCCCCAAAACAAATTGATAATATAGAAAATGTAGAATTTAACATATCAGATGAAGTAAAGACAGTAGATTCAATTCATAATATTGTGCAGTCATGGGAAAAATTTGAAATTCCAGAAAATATAAGTGAACAAAATTTTTTAGATAAAATTGATGAGATGGAAGAAATAATTAATAATATCGAAAAAAATGAAATATTTAATAATTTAGTAAATGATACTACAACATCTATGGAAGATACTACATGGGAAACTGAAGATATAAATAAATTGTCGCTAACTTCAAAAGAAAAACTAATTAAAAAGGAAAAAAATGTAGATTTTCAGAAAAATTTTGAAAGTGTTCCTAACATCTATGATGCCAAAGTTGACGAAAAACCAAATATTGAAGAGGAAAAAATTATTAAGAAAGAACTTAAAAACAATTTAAATATGCGTCAAGAAAATCACGGTACTAAACAGACGATTAGAAAAATTATACAACAAAAGATAAGAGAAGACAAACAAAAAGTCAATGAGTCAAAAGAAATCAATATTGAACCAAAAAATACAGAGCTTCCAATAAAATTAATGAAAAAAGAGACTATAGTAGAATCTCCAAAAAGAAAAATATTGCAAAAGCAAGAAGCAAAAGATGTTCGAACTTCGACTATTAATGAATCGACATTAACAGATCAAAATCAAATTAAGGTTGTAAAAGAAGATGCAAAAGAAGATAAACAGAGATTTAAAACAAAAGATACTACACAGAAAACAGGTAAAATTAAGATAATAAAATCAGTTAATCTGGAGCAGATCGTGAAAAACGAAGATCTAAATAAAGAAAAAACTATAGATGTAACAGTAAAGAAAATAACAAAAACAGAGAATAATATTGATGCTGAATTACCTGCAATAGTAACTGAGAGACAAATGATAGAAAAAGAGAATGAAAAAGACATTAAATTATCAAACTCAATAAATGTAAGAGAAAGTATAAAAAATATAATAAATCAATTTAAAGAATTTGAAAAAGATTTTATTTATGATAATATTGATTCAGTGAATGATGTAACCCATGCAAATCATATAGAAAGCGATTTATACATAACAGAAATGGACAATAGTATGGATCATTCTGCAAAAAGTAAGGATCAAATTGTGGTAAAAGATGCTAAAGAAAGTTTCAAAGAAATATTAGATCAATTCAAATATATCAAAGATGAATTAACTTCAGAAGAAGATGATCAATTTGATGAAATTGCAGCAAAATATATGGAACAGCCAATTGCTGAAACATTATTACAATTTAGCGAAGCTCTAAAAACTTTAATGCAGCGAAGGAAAAAGACAGTGTCTGATTTATATGATAAACAAAATGCAGATGTATCAGATGTGGAAAGATGATTATATGACAGAATATCAAAGAAAACTTACAATAAAAAAAATTACACAAGAAGCAACGAAGAATCGTGCAAAGAAAACAAAAAATCGAAAACGATTATAAGACTGTTAAGAAATCAAGAATTGTATAAATAAAACGGAAGAGCAGATAGCATAATGCAATTGTAAATAGGCCAAATCCTATTATCGTTTTTAATATTATTACAAAACTATATTTACAAAACAAGTACCTAATATCAATATTAAAAGTACTAATTAAAAATTATACCAAAAATGGTTCTGCCTCTCGTAGTTATTCAAAATGTTATTTAAAATGAAAGGCAAAGAAAATTTACAAAAAAACATTGAAAAATAATTGGATAGTCAGAAAATTAAATATTGTTTCATAAGTAACATCAAATGTTACTAGTAAGACAAACTGTAATTATTGTGTAAACATGTTTCCTGTGATATCAAAAATGTTATATTTTTTAATGTATGCTTATGTATTACCAATAACAAAATTTATTTTCCTATATGAAATATTTACATAATTAATTATGAAATATTTACATAATTAATTACGAAAATGGTTGGTGACAAAATACTATATAGTTTTTCATAACGCATTATAGATTCAAATTATAGATGCATAATTTACATAAAATTTTACTTTGCATAAAATTGTACAAAAAAGATTACATATAGTAATCAAGATAGAAACATGGCTACTTTACAGCTTCATTATTATTTTTTCTTTATTCATCATATTTTCATTACATTTTTAAGTGCAATTATAGATATTTTATAAGCTGTAAGCATGAAAATATTATGTGAGTTATATCATTCAGATTTTTATATTGAAATATTATTTATATAACATTTTTCGCGTGTTGTTCTGTGTGATTATATTGCATTATATTTTATGTGTATATGTGTGTATATATATGTAGCAAATTAAATATTAAATTATAAATTTACAGTAAAGTAATATATAAACTATATACATATTATATATATTATAAATTATATATTATCTGCCACATAATTTATCATATAATGTTTACACATTGATGATTAATTTTTATATTAATATCTGCAGAGTGATCAAGTGCCTTATTAAATCTTTTTCAATATTTAAAGTGGCGTACAACATAAATATACACATATGCATAAATAGCTCTGTGTGTGCTTAATTACAACATGTATTAATATTTTATATAAATTGAAATTGTTCAATACTATAATTTACAAATTAATCCCTAGAACACTTCTATTAAAATTTTGATATTTATTTTATGCGACTTGTGCATTAAAAAAAGGAGATTATTACAATGTATATATGTACATATGTAAGATTAAAATTTTCTGAAAAGCTCTCTGATTGAATAGATCGATCCAACCGTGTTACATAAAAGCAAAGCTAAGGTAATGTTAAATAATATTTTATCGCGTATGCCGCTCTTTAAATAGACAGGAATTCCGTCGTCGCACTGTCGAAATAAATGATGTGTATCAATATGGAATTTTTCTAGATGCAATTTTTATAAATCAAATTTCTAAAATTGCTTCAAATTACATATACCTGCATCTTTGCTTGCTTTAATTTAAATTTTTGAAATTCTTTGTTAATCTCCTTATAGAAAAAGAGTGATTGATTTGTGCCAAATGATCTTTGTAATAATATATTGTAAAAACATATCTGGAAATTAGATATAAATCCTTAATTTTTAAAAATTTAATGTTTTTTGTGCTTATTTGAATTGATGTAAAAGATGTGTTGTATTTTATCTATTATATAAATTTTTTGTTTTATAAATATTTTATAAATATTTTTACAAAAAATTTTTATAAAAAGTTTTTCTAAAAATTATAAAAAGAGAATTTTCTGTTTCTAAATATAATTTAAATAAATGTATTTTAATTTCTATTTTGATTACTTCAAAACACTAAAATTTATAAATTCACGTATTTAATGAATATATGCAACACATATTTTGCATTAACTTATATAAATATAATTTTTTGTAATACATAAGCTTTAAGAGTTATATACATTTTTCTTAATATAATAGTTTAAGTTTTTGAAATATTTATAACTTTTGATACAGTCACTTTTGCACTGATATCAATTAATATTCATTGCCATGTCGCATCAAAAATAATTTAATTTTCAAATTATTTATTATATTATTACGTTACCTTTTGCATATTTCTCAAGAGTAACATGTTGAAACTCTTGATATCACAATCACGATCTCGTTGCTGGAAAATAAAATAAACTGTCTTATTGTTTTATTGGTTGCTAAGAAACTGAATGTTATTTACAAGCATTGAAAAGTCGTATACATACGTAATAGAAAGTGTAATGTTAAAGAATGTTGCAGCATTTTTTAATCTGTTATTGATATAAATCCTTGCCATAATATTCCAAAACAGGATGCGTCCTAATCGTTTATCGCAATTCAAATCGAAGTTGCGAATAGAGCGCGAATATCTTCACATATTTGTTCATATTACTGACGTCAACTTGAAAAAAATTGCCGAGGTACCGATTGGATATCGACTAGAGAAATTTCTAGGATTTTAAGTTTCCTGCAAGGACAGCCAATCAATACATCTGACGAAGTCTGTTGAAAAATGTGTTAAAAATACTTATTACATTTATCGTACAGGTTTTTTAAATATATTTGATTCGTTGTAGAAAGTTTCTAAAGATTCAAAAAATTTGTCGTACAACAAAGGTAAATATAAGTTCTTTTTAGCGACATAATAGACATGTAAATAACATTCATATAAAGAATATAGATAAAAACAATTATTAGATAGATAGAGATTATTAGATTAATAGAAAAATTTTTAAAATTAAATTCGAAATAACTTTTTAATTATAATTACTAAACTTAAAGTTAATTTTTCTATAAATTTGTAATAAAATAAATTTCATTACAAAGTCTCTCATTATCGGATAATTCCGTTATTTAGAGAACATTTATATTTCTCATATTTTGATGTGCCATGTAACTGCACTAAACCATTCTTTTTATTCTCCATTGTGCTCGTCCACTGGCAGAATTTGTTGTGAACTCGCTAGATCTAGTGCAGTCCCAGTGCAGCACAAGTTCAGCTAAAAAGAACAAACCTGCGATTGCAAGGGGAAGGGGAAGGGAGACCGCGGTTTCAAGAATGGCCGCTCGACGCGCATGCTCATTCGCCGCGCGACACAACAGTCGTAAACAAGATAACGTTTTGGTCGACGCTGTTCGCGTCCAATTATTCCGCCTACAGGGTTGAAGGGGGTGTCTCGTGGGGGACGTAATTTCGCGATTTCACCACGTTGATATTTGTTGACACGAAGCAGGATGCTCCTGATGCCGCGACATGGCACGTCGTGATACATAAATTTAGGACACGCGTTGGCATGCGGTGACGTCATCCAGATCGTTCTAGAAGAATTTCCGCGAAACAAAAATGGCGGGTGCGTAATTCACTTACACGTTGGCGTTAACGATACATCACATTTCTCGATTATCATCGCTTATATTTTGATCCTTTTACATTTCAGATTTATACGCGAAGTACAACTGCACCTATTGTCAGGAGGACATTACGGGCCTACGTGTCAAGTGCATCGAATGTCCCGAATTCGACCTTTGCTTGCAGGTGGGTCGAACATTCGAACCCCCATTTTGGATCACGTAGTGATCACTATGTAGTAAGCACTGTGACATCCTCTTTCTCTCTCTCTATCGTTCTTTACCTTCGCTCGTCGTCTTTACTCTCGTATCTTTTTGTTCTCTTTTTTTTTCATTCGTTTATTCCATTTTCATAGCCTTTCCATGGGCCTGTTCTTTTTAGCTACACTGCTGCACTAGTGCAATTAGTTAGAGTGAAAGAAAGTGCATTTGTCTCTTTCTAACTTATTGCACTAGTGCAGCAGTGCAGCTAAAAGGAATAGACCCCTTGTTTCTCGTAAATGATATTTTTGATTTTCCGTTTCCGTTCTTATGCCTTCTATCACGAATCTGTGAATGAAATTGCTAATCAATGAGATGCGTGTGGCGGTTATTTTGAATCATGATACCAATGAAATTTTGATTATTGTAATTTTAAGGTAATTTTATTGAGGTATATAAATGCTTTTCTGTGACAGTTATAATCGGCAATTATTTTTTAAATTATTTACTATCTGTAAATTACTAAATTGTATCTTATATATTTATCATATATATTTATTGTATATTTATTATATATTCATTTGTTAAGAGCTATTTTAAAATTTAAAAATTGTTAGTAATAATAAAATATATAAGAAAAAAAAAAATATATATATATACATATAAACTATATAATTGTTTATAGTGTTTTTCTGCTGGTGCTGAAATTGGTCAACATAAAAATAATCATGCCTATCAATTTATGGTAAGCACTATGAAGAAAATTTATATTATAGTGTAAAGGTACTAGCATTAATTTGTATGTATATTAATGTAGGACTCTGGTACGATTAGTATATTTAATGGACGTGGTAACTGGACAGCTAGGGAAGAACTTAGACTTCTGGATGCTATTGAACAATTTGGATTTGGAAATTGGGAAGATATCAGTAAACATATCGAAACGCGCACGCCAGAGGGTAATTTAATTAACTTATATTTTGAGTATTACACAAAGAGTTTGATACAGAATCAATTACATTTGTAAATATAATCATTTTTTAGCATTTAACATTTAGCATTTTGTTGTTACAGAAGCAAAGGATGAATACATCGCTAGATATCTCAATGGTAATATCGGAAAGCATACATGGCCACCTACAGAAAGCTATGTACCAAATCTTACGGATCAAACCAAGTCCGATCATGGCCCATTATCGCCTGATCTTACATCCAAATTACCACCATTGGACATCACTCCAGAAGAAGCGACACAATTGGGTTACATGCCCCAACGAGATGATTTTGAGAGAGTAATAATCAGTCGTAAGATTTGATTAATTTTTATTCGAAAATATAACTTGATAATCATTATGATCGCTTCCTCTAGGATTATAATCATGAGGCCGAATCTCTCGTTTCTTCGTTATTCCTGAATCCTGCCGAGGATGATGATCTTGACATTGCACTTAAATTAGCGCAAGTTGATATGTATACCAATAATTTGAGAGAGCGAGCAAGGCGGAAACGTGTCGTAAGAGATTATCAACTTGTATCAGCTTTCTTTGCATCAACCAGAAAAGACAAAGGAATAAAAAAGAAACATACAAAAGAAGAAAAGTACGGTTTATATAAATGTACTTTTTTCTTTACATTTATTTCAAAACACTTGAAAAAAATATTTAATTTCTTTTTTGCTCGCTCCAAACGTATTAAGTAATTCGTTTATTCGATGCAGAGAATTTAGGGACAGAATGCGTGTATTCGCACAGTTTTACACAGCACAAGAGCACGAACAGTTCCTAACAAATCTCGAAAGGGAAAGAGAATTGCGCTTACGACTTTCGGAACTTTATCGATATCGTGAGAACGGTATTACGAGGCACGAGGAATGCGCTCATCTGGAACAAGTTCTCGCGCAAACTCAAAAACAAAATGACACAACGGATTATTGGACAGAAAAGAAATCTGTAAGTATGAATTTCTACTCGCATAAATTTTTCGTTTTATGACACAGAATGAGATAATTTTATCTCTTGTAATACATACACATGTACATGTATATGTACACATTTTCGTAAAAGCTAGTAAAATATCTCTAAAATATCATAAAAAAGATTACACGATATCTTATTCCCTTTTTAATAAATGCATGCTAAAATTGAATACATACTAATGTATGACATTACTGTGAAGTATAATTTTCACATAAAACAGTCATATTTTTGTGCTTATTATTAACTGTTATATTATTTATAGATTTTTATGTACATTATTATGGATACTTAAATATAATTGTATTATTGTATGAATTTTTATGTTAATATTTAATTCTTCTATTTGCATTTTCTATATAAATGTTATGTTACAGATATAATATTTGTATTTATGTAATAAAACAAAAATTATATAAATTTCATTTTTATTATCTTTTCCATTAATAAATATTTTATATATACATGAAGACCAATATTTATAGATGAATATTTTGTTATCGAATAATATGAATCAATACTTAATATCATATTTTGGTGTAAAATTATAATTGAATAATTTCAAATTAGAATTTATATTAAAAATGATGCAACAAGCATAATACTAGAATAAATTTATATTGTATATATACATAAATTATCGCATTCTAAGTTGTGATATGAAAAAATACACAAAATAATATACAAAAAAATCTATACAAAAAATTATTTAAAATAATTGCAATTCTTTCTATATTTAGTCCTTGTTTTTATATTCATATGTACAATACAAATGGAAAAAAGAAATAATTCAGAGCCTTGACTATATTGTGTATACTAGCTTTTGCTTCTTTTCAACTAATTCTATTGTTTGTGATGCGTGTTGCCAGGCATTTGTGAACAGATTGTATCAGTTTACATTTCACTTAGGGCAGCAGTGGGCCGTTCACACCAATACACCGCAGCACCTCAAAAAGAAGGTAAGTTTATATTTGTAGAATTAGATGTTTAGAATTATGTAGAATTAGGTGATTAGAATTATGTGTAATATTTTGTACAGAATTTAGAAATATTATATTTTTATATCATCATATATGTATTATTTTCGTATTTTTTTTGTGCTTATATTTATTGAATATTTTTCTTTACTCCATTGTTCTGTTTACATTTTATTTTATTATATACATTAAAAACAATAATATTGTTGCAATATCTTACAATACATTAAATTATTATATTATTATACATTAGATTACATAAAATTCTTAAATTTTATCCATATATATATCTTTTTTGCTCTTATAGAGAAGAAGAAAAAAGTTACTCTTTCATCGACCGAAAATACACTACAAAGCAAGACTTGCCCAACAACTCCACAATCAATCAAACTTGTCACAATCGGACGACGATTCCAACCAATCAATGGGTGGAATCGGATAGCAATCCTACTTCCAGTCAATCGACTTGCAGCCCCAGTTCTACGCAAGAAAGAAAAACTTCCAGCACCGATACTGCTTGCACTCAAGAACGAAATATAGAATTGGAAGCTGCATCTCATCTTTTAACACAGAAAGAAAAATCCTTGTGTATTCAACTTGACCTAGAACCGACTGCATATTTGACGCAAAAAACAATGGTAATAGATGTAAGTATACAAATTGTATAAGTTTTTGATTATTATAATCATAATGTATTATTTGTAATATCAATTCTTTAATGTTACAGGCATATTTGGAAGGTAATAGGAGATCGAACGTTTTAACTCAATCAGAACGACAGAACAAAATTCTCCATTATTTGGTAACTAACGGTTTAATTGCAGCTAATTGATTAAATAAATAAAGATTAGCGATATTATACCATTCTAAGTCATTTTTAATCTTGCAAGCTAAGTCCTAGATATAACTAGAATTTGAGTCTGATAATATATAGGGCAAATGGATAAAGAAAAAAGAGAATATATATGCTGTTGATACTTGTTTCATGCAGCAATTTAGATATTTCTATGCAATGCGCGATTTATTAACATAGGATCGATAGATAGATAATCAGGCGTAATCTACGATATATTTAACGTCTATGATAAATTTTGGCAATGCATTCAGAGCCGATTTTATTTTATCCGGTGATAAATTCTCACCATACTTAATTTCTCTGTTATCTTTTTTCAGACCATATAATACTAAAAATAATGCAAAGAATAATAGACAATTTAGTTAATTACAATAAACATTAACAAATATTGTGACCGAAAATTGATTCTTAGAGTATTATATTTTACTTATTATTTTCAGAATTTTATGAATGTTTTTGTTGAATGCTATTTAAGAGAATCTCTTAACACTGCCTATGTAGAGCCATTGAACATATTGCTCAATTAATTCTTCCATTGTATCATTTTCATACGCAGATAATGCTCACGAATACTCTCTTTTTTATTTGTTTTAAATGTCAAATATAGTAACAATTTTTTTAAATTGCAAATAAAAGAATTTTTTAATCATCGAATAATTTATATATAATTTTCATATAATACAATTGAAAATTAATAAATAATTAGAAATATACAATTTAAATTTAAATTATATAATTATGTAATTATGTTATTAAATTATATAATTATGCCTCACATATAACTTAGAAGCATATGTGATGTATATTATTATGTATTTAATAGATTATATACAATATATAATTATACTTTGTATATAATTTGAAAACATATATTATAATATATAATATTATATATTGTATAATAATATATTTTAATTATACAAATTGTTGATTTACATACATCTTTAAATTTCTTACAAAATATTCTTACACATTATCTTTACTAATTAAATCCACACACATAGCAATATTTGAGAAATTCTTTTATTTGTACTACAAAAAATGGGATAATTAAAAAATTCTTTTATTTTAATTAAAAAAAATTCCTTATTGACAAAGAATGGTACAAATATTGTGACATATGCAACATCGATAATATGAAATGTATGATATTAAATAATTTATCTGTCGCTTTGTGTGGCATTTGTATATATGGCAAAAGAGTGATACTTTCTTAGTGATAATATATTGTAAAGCACAAAAAGTAATACAATCTCACAACATATGAAATGTCATCATTATCATTATCGATAAAATTTACGACTAAACTCACAACAGAAAGAGAAAAAAAAAACATATTTAAAAGAGAACTTTGAAAGCATAATTATTTTCTGCCAACTTTTGGTAAAAACCAAAATGTATGAAAATGTTCCTTCGAGAATGATTATCACTTAATGATATATAATTATATATTATATAATTATATATGTATGTGTGTATTAAATTTTGCAATATGCACGAAAACTGTTTCCATAAAAAGCCATTCATTAAAACATTTCTTTTAAATTGCAAGTGGATATTCTTACATAAATCACATTAAAAATTATTTTTAATAGATTTAAAATATTTGGAAAATTTCAAGAGAGAGAGAGAAAGAATCCTAATATGAAATTGTGTCGAAATCATAAGCTTTGAATAGGAAACGATTAAAATTTAAGAATCAGAGAGTGGGCATTTTGCATGCTCAAACAAAATATGTCAATGACTTCTATGGATTAAATTGTTTTTGATATTGAAATTGTGTAAAATATGAGATCCAAGAAGATTTCGATCATATTCGTCTGCTTCGTATAAAAATATCGATTAATTATAGTCTTATTAATAAAATCCATTAATTAAACTTAAAACTTTTATAAATAATATATTTTTGTCACATTTTATTAGCATGTACATTTTTTTTGTAGTTATTAATTATGGATAATACAAAATATATATAATTTATATCTATTATATTTAATAATTTATTGATCGATATTATTATACGGAATAAATATATATATATATATATATATATATATATATATATATATATATACACAGAACAAATAAATATAGTTTGCATATTTAGAGAATTTCTTGTCGAATGTGTATATACAAAATGTCAAAAGTTATTGATACTACACTGCTTAAATCATTTGTAGTTGTGTCTGTTATTATATTAGGCAATATACATTTATGATGGATTAGTGTATTGGCTGAGCAAGATATGAATACGCGTTTCTTACATGATTCTTTGCAAGTGTATATCACACGTTTGCAATTTTGAAATAGCACATTTTCAGGAGCAAAGATGTGCATTAAATTTTGCTTTGAAATTAACAAGAAAACTATGGAAATTCTTAAGAAATGCTTAAATAAACATTTAAGTAAAATTTGATGAACACTTCACATTTGATGAACTCGAAAATCTATCTCGTTATTTCAAAATCGCGGACGACACGTATGACACATGTGAAAATGTACGTAATAAAAAAACGTATATCATATCCATGGCAAGTTAATGGATGTATATTGATGCATCATAGATGAATACTATCTTTCCTAGCGGCAGATGCTGATACTACAAGTCATGCAGTATCTGGAACTTTTAGAATCTCTCTCTTCGTTTATTATTTATCTTGAAGATATATAAATTTTTCCATTTCTTATTATTTTATATTATCACATCATATTTGCATTTTATTTCTTCCTCTTATCTCACTTTTACAACAATCGCCCTTCAATTCTACATTTATACTTCCTTGTTTCGAATATTACATGTATATTAATCTAAATATAACAAAGTGTATAGGATTTAATGCCGTATATATAAAAATGAGCCTATATATCTGTACATAACGATACGCGTAAAAAGACCTATTACTCAGGTTTAAATAAATAGATAAAGTCTATATCCAGATCTTTCATCGAGAGAAGCATTCACACGTATGATAAGAGCGATGCAAACGGCGTTCGTATATATTTTATAGATAATAAACAAATACCTCCTTCCGTTTATCCGACTATGGCAATGTATAGTTGTATTAATGATTGCTTCCTCTCACAAGTATACATATATAATCGAGATCAATGATTCAGAATTTCGTTTTTGAGATATATGCATAAAAATAAAAACATAGATATATTATAGCCCTACAGCGTGCGTCAATACATCGAAATTCCAAAATAATTCTTACAGAAATAATTGTAGCCGGATAAAAAATGACACGGATATAAAGTCACAGCTCCAGTCATAATAATTTATCTATATAATATTTAACATACGTGTTATATACTATATGCATTATTTTCTCAATATAGAGCAACAAAACAATTACAACATTACAGATTATAATGTACTCCGACACAAATATTCATCGAATGTGCGAAATAAACTGTGCGATATTTTCGTTTAAAAAATATATGTAATTTTTATATAGCACATTATCTTCATATTTTCCATTAATTTCTTTGAAACAAGTGCGATTAATATTAATCGGAATGAAATTACAAAACAAAATGTCATGCAAATTGCACGATAATTATATAGTTATATAATTAAATTAGTATATAATTATATACTATATACTATATAATTATATACTATATAATTATATACTAATTTAGCAATTTTTTTTAATTTCTAAACTTAAATTAAACATGATTAATGTTGATTCTAAACATGATTAATGTTGATTCAATCATGATATAACGTTAAAAAACATGTTACGTTTTTGCAGCTTTTTTTTATAATTATCTTTTTATAATAGATGTTTTCAATATTATTTTTTGTTATGTCATCCTATATTTCCTCGAATTAACGTATTTATCAATGCTTTAATGGAATTTTATCAATTCTTTAGTGGAATTTTTCATAAAGAAAAGTGCATAGAGAAATTCAAAATGAATAGTTTTAACTATTTTTTTATGGCATCTTGTGCGAATGCGACTAGAGATTATGACGGGTGAATAATAAAATTTTAAATTCCAAAAAAAAAATTTCCGACCTTTCTGACATTTGAGTCATTTCAAATTATATTGGAAATTGAAAATAACAAAGATGCATATCAATTAAATGTAACTTTTTCCACCCGAGAAGCGTACCTGACAACGATGGGATTTTATGAATCATTCTTTGCCGTTGAACTCTCCACCTTTAGCGAGAGAAAAAATAAAGACCGCAACGTATCATTAAATCCGAAGGCGCATAATTTTTCAATAACAGGTACGAAGGTGAAGGCGCGAATCAATGACGAGATTTTGTGGAATAAATCGGTACCATTTCTACCCTTCCACTCGCGGCTGTGCGACGTATATAAAGTCGAGTGACGGGAATATATCCGTACACAATTACATCTGATTGCGAATAATACGCCTTAGGTGAGCAGGTTTATTATATAACAATTGCGACGTGATGTTCTCTTAAAAATTGAACGTAATCACTCACGAACGAATCAATTGTCAATTTTTAAATTTTCGAATTTTTATTGCAAAAAATAGTAAAATATATACATTTGAATATATATAATACATCTATCACATATATTTTACTATTTTTTGTAATAAAAATTTTCTGTTAGCACAAAATAAGATGTCACATACATGAATCAAAGGAAAAAAGATTATTTTATTTTTAGTTCAATATTATTGTATAGAAGAAAGTTTAGCTCTACTTCTTTAAAATGATCTCGTATTTGAAAAATTACATTTTTGAGTTGATTTTTTCCGCATAATTACGTTCAATATAAATATGCGATTATCTGATACGCCTTCGAGCGATTTCTTTCGATTTATTGTACATCATGTTATGCATTACGTTTTATGAATTAATATAATTGCTACGTATGATTTTCGAAGACGCGCCGATCAAACTCGAAATAAAATTCGGTTTTTTTTATTGAAAAGTCAATACATTTCATTGACATTCATCAAATGTTTCGAAGAAGAATGTATAATAAGTGCTAATTTTAACTTTTTTAAAAATTACTTTTTTCTCTAATTTTAATTAATTTCTCTTTTAATTTACTCAGAAACAAACATTATGATAAGCTAAAATATATGTAGCTGATATGTGATATATGTTTGTCTATTTGTCTATTAGTTATTAATATTTTACAAGATATTGTTTTATATATTTCTTCCGATCTAAGATATGTGCGTGTATGTGTATAAATTTTTTCAAATATTCCGGTGATCACAACTGTGATACAACAATAGTTCTTCAAACTTTTGTCGAATAAACATTTTATTAGACACGTGTCTAATTAAATTTTTTTGCAGCCATGAAACTTGCACTGGTGTGTCTATTTGCTATTAGCACTGTCGTTTGTGTGTATGGACGGCCAGAAGAACATTATACCACCAAATTTGACAATATAGATGTAGACCAAATCTTAAGCAATGACCGATTATTGAAGCGATACGTAGATTGCTTGTTGGAAAGGCCCAATGTCAAATGTCCCTCTGAAGCTCTTGAATTAAAGAGTAAGTACTATGCGTATATTAAACATGACAAAGAATTGCAATTATAAATAGTGCACCTAGATAAGAATATCTATTAAATTAAATTATTAAATTATATTAATTTATTTTCAATATACACATCTTTCAATATTTTCAATATATGGTCCAAATTTTCAAATTAATTACACATAAAAATAAAAAATTTTTTGTTATCTATTTTTTCATTAGATAATGTAGAGAAAATGAGAATATATCTCGAAATGTGTTAAATTTTAATAATATTTTAAAAATTTATTTTATCTAAAATATATATATATATATATATATATATATATATATATAATAAATTTGATATTGACATCTAACAATGAGTTAAAATCTATTTACTTTGCTATTTTGCAATAAAAGACCTTGTGCAATAAAAGACCTGTTTCTTAGAGAAATAGAGAGCTTTGTAACGTAAGGCATGTGAGTAAATGATATGTTAATAAATTCTATTTGCGAGGTATGTGGAAATCTATGTTGTGGAATACATGTTTCCTCAACATGACTTTAATCGATTGATAAATAATACAAGTCTTAAAATTCAAGTATAAAAATTCAATTCATTAAAAAATATATTTTTAATAATTTAAACTAATATATCTTTAGAGATTACTCGATCAACATACAATGCGATGAAAATTAATTTCGACGTTATCAAATCGACGTTAATACCAATTATAATTTTAATATTGTTAACTCCATAATTATTTAATTGCAGAAGTTTTATCCGAAGCAATGGCAACTCACTGTGCCAAGTGCTCGGATCGACAGAAAGAAATTGCAAAAAAGGCGTTAGACTTCTTAATAATAAACAAAAAAGATATGTGGAACGATCTGAAGTCTAAGTACGATCCAGAAGAGAAATACGCGAAACAGTATGAAGAAGATGCCTTGAAGAAAGAAAATTAACTTTAATCAGAAATCAACGAGAAAAGAAATGGGAAAAATATATATCTATAATATATGTGCAACGCTAATGTAATGCTAATTGCTTTATCGTCCTTCTAGCCGCAACTCGACCCAATTGATATGTAACATACGTATTTGCCACATGCAAATAAAATATTAGTCATAATATAGATGCGTCATACATGATATATTCTATGTGTTACTATACTAATCGTACACAGAATCCTCTTTGTGTTCTTCACATTTGGATTTTGATTGCGTATCTTTACACATGTGGAAGAGACTTTAATATAAAAACAAACAATTGTCATCCAGCGGAAGATTTCCACCTGAGACAAAAAACTTTCCGACAAATGCTAATTCCATTGCAAGATCAGAAAAACAGTTGCAAATTAACTTTTTATTACTGCTAAATCATTGTATCCTTGATCAAGCACATTATATGATTATTTTACTGATATATATTGTTAAAAAGTTTAAAAGTAGTTGTGCATCTATTAAAAAATTGCATAAATCAACATTTGTCGAAAGAAATTTTTGCCTCAGAATCTTTCGCTCGATAACACATTTTATTTTTACTTTAAAATCTTTTCCATGTATATAAAGTAGTAAGAGTATCTATTTAATCTCGAAATTCAACAATAACTTAATATAATAATAGAAATACTTTTGAAAGGCACAATTTATTTACAAAGAAAGTATTCGAGTACCATATCAAAGGCATTTGTGAACAACAACAATCTATTAATATTGCATTATCGGAACGTCTGTCTCATCATCTGTCGTTTCATCGATGTCAGCACAAGCATAGCACAGTTCGCCGACATCTTTCCAGCACTCGGAGCAATGAACGAAAAAGCACCCCGGTGTTGTACATCTGCGGAATTGCGGACCTTTCCTCGGTTCTGCTTCACCGCAGACGAGACACTTAAGACGTGCCCGAGCGAATAATGCCAACCAACCGCAAAGCATTGGCCAACGCTGCCTCACAGCTATCCATAAATCCATATCGTATTCTAGCCGACGAGTCCTAACCAGAGCTCTGATTTTGGCTCGCATAAATCTGGCATCATCGAAGACAGATTTGATATATATATATATATATATATATATATATATATATATATGTATTAAAAAATGTATTCTTAAATACTTTTTCTTTGTAAAAGATTTTGGACTATTCGATCGGTATCGAATTTTATTCCGAAATTTTATACCGATTTCGTTGCTCGAAATAATCAAAGAAAAACTCGCAGCTATTCCAGTTGAGTTTACTCTGAATCTCAACTTGAGCGACACTTGATGTTATATTTTTACCTGGCGTGTCCAAGTCTGCGCCTCAGGCTTTCATTGTAAAGGTACAGCACGCGTCTCTTCTCTCGCTTTCTATAAAAGAACGAGCAGATCACGCGTCGCAGTCGCTGAGTGTAAGCGGCAGTAAACAGCAACAGCCAAACACCGAAATAAATCGAATAGATCTTGAGGATCATGCGATCTGGCACTTTGCTAGGTTTCGGTAAACACGCGCTATTGGACACCACAGTTTTTACTCGTCTCTTTACGTTGAATCCACGAATGATACTACGTATCAAAGAGGCTATCACTCCGATTCCGCGAACCTCCAAAACCATGTCATGATGACCCGCCTAGAAGCAATTAAAATTGAAGTTTAAATTAAGAAGAATAAATTATATTATGTAACGCATTAGAAGAGAGGATAGGAACGCATAGGAAGAGAGAATCTAGTATGTTAATCTTATGTCATTTTGCATATGTTATTGTATATGTTTAAAGACTCCTAATCTTATCTTATAGTCAATATAGTCGTATTGAATTATCGAAAGAGAAAACCCATATAAATTTTTTATACTACATATTGAAATATTTTAATTAAAATTCTTTCACATAAGATTTGCAGGTAAAAGATAAACAATACACTTGTAGGATTTGTGATAAACATTCTTCGAAAAAAATATCTAGATCGAATTTGAAAAATCTGTTGAAAACGACAAGAATAATTAAATAGTACACTGTAAACCGAAAACCTGAGTATATTCCATATGAGCATGTCTCCTGATCAAATCGAGCACCTCGAAAAAGAGTCTATCGAGTAATATAAACGTTGTCACACTGATCATCTCGAGTATCAACTTTACTGTTTGACCAGTTAAATGCACCCGCTCGATTTTACTCGGTCGCAGGCTATACGGATCCACGAACTTCGATCTTTCAATCTTCTTCAAGGGAAGCAAAGTCAAGCTGTCGCGAGCCTTCCGTCTTGCATCGATTTTCCGAAAGTACGAAGTCACATATACGTTGTCATGTTCAATGTCGTTGAGATATTTATCGTGATAAGTTTGAGCATTCACGATGATTCTCAAGAAAACGAAGGACAGGCATCTGGATGATTACGTGAAATATATTTTGTTCCTATATAAAAGAATATTGCAGAACACAATTTTGTATCTAAATAAACAATTGTATAATTTCATTTAAAAAAGAGATAAATATTTACGAAAATTTTACACAACACAGATCATCTTAACATATATTGTAAAAAATCTATTCGTTGGTAACATGCTAGAATTGCACCGCTTTCTCTTATATTTATTAAGATATACATTATCAATATAATTTAAAAATCAGTGAATTTTAACGTCTTAAACTCTCAAACTTCAACAAAAGAGTGTTGATAATTTTATATAAATATTATTCAAGAATATGAATGTCAAAGTCAAGATAATCCGTATTGTGTAAGTTTTTGTAAAGAATTATCAAAACGAGCAACCTTCGTTAAACCAGGCAAGGTTATTTTCTACATTTACTTGAAAAAGAATTGCAATTACAGATTCGAATTTAAATTCATCTTGCCATAATTTGCCGTACCTCTTGATAATCATCATCACTGACTTCAAAATTTTCCTGCGCGAATTGAATTCGTGCATTATTGCCTGGGAAGCATCTGTGGCGTCATGAAGATCAAGGATCACCGGCATTTTCTTTATTCTATATTGCAATTTTGCCACCTTGAGGCTTTTGCTGAATGTATCTTTGGCTCCTTCGCAAAAAGACAATAATATTTCACGAAAATATCACAGAAAAAAATGCCACAATGCATTATGTAATTTTTAAATTCTTATCACGCAAATCAATGCACGACCAAATGACATTTATTCACTTTTTAAAGCAACGTAACCCTCGCCGATGCCGGAATCTACTTTTCCCTCGGGATTACAGATGTTGGAGCCACCGAGTGCTTGCACCAAGTTGCACACGAACGTGAGTTTCATTGGCCAGCATAGCAGCCAGGCCGCAAAGACCGTCACTGTATCATAACACTTGTCATAAGCGTCACTGAACATATCTCTAAAAAAACCGCAAAATCATTAATTTCAATTGTTGAAATTAATAAAAGGTAGAAATATAAAATCGGAAAAAAAATGTTTAATTCGAATCAATAAAGCAATGTTTACAATTTAAGGAACTTAATAAGGATAAATTTAATATTTCCGCTGCGGAAAATTATTATGAAGAATTGAATAGGCACACGCCTTGTAATTCAATATTATTTTTTATTATCTTGAAAATTGCGCAATCGATTAAAAGAATTTATTCTACGAATGTATTTTTCCTTTAATCGATTTTCATGAATCATCAGATCGCTAATAATTCTGTAATTGATATCATTAATATTATTTATTAAATATAAGATTGTCAAAAAATTCTTTAACATTTAACTTTAAATACACTCGAAGCCTTTTCGAATAAAGATTGTCTCGTGTTATTTAAATTAATCCTGTGCATGAGAGAGAAGAGAAAGAATGCCTTGCCTGCATCGCTCGGCACCGCGGCTAAGCTGCTCTTCGCAACGCGTCTCGATCTTCTTCTTGTACTTCGCCTCGTAAACATCCGCTTCAGACTTTGCCTTCGCAATCTCTTTCTCATGTTTCTCCTCGATCTCGTCGCTTCGCTTCGTATCGTCCTGAAGCTCGTCCAAATAATCGTTCTCCTCTTTCAACCTCTTCATCTCCTCTTCGCCTTCGATTTCCTCGACTATCGGACTCATCAAATCTCTCACTGAAGATAAAGTATCTTTCAATTCGCTCGCATCCGCTTGCATGGCGAGCACAGCCTAAGTATCGTTGGACGCGTAATTATTTTTGCGCAGAATTGTTATTTGCATATAAGCAATCGTATTTTTTTTTAAATAAAAAAATTGCGTTTATTATATTATATTATTTTAATGAGTGTTTATATTTACCTGTTGGAAAGGCTTAAACATGAGATCAAAGCGCGTTTGGGTGAGATTATACGTTAACTGCGTCGTACAAGCAAAAGTTCTCATCACTTCTTTACCGTTGTACATTAAATTGAATATCGGTCCAGCAATTATATATCCTAAGACGAGGGCTCTCAAAACATTACGTCCGGATCGACCGAGGAAAGTTGGGATTGTCAAAAAACAAATACACCTCACCTATTCAACACAACAATTTTGATGTCGATCATTCTTTTACACCAACGTCAAAATTTATTATTAAACATTTTATGTGTATTTTCATATGTTTAATTAAAAATATTAACGTCTTGTATGACGTATTTTATACATGCGAATGCAATTGACAGATTTTTTTCAAATTAATTTGCTCGGCAGAAATAAATCGAAAGATTAAACATTATTTAAGAAAATCATATATAAACTGCTTATTATTTATCATATCAATATTAATGAAGACTACATGAAATCAATAAACTTTATGTAAAATTCACTACCCAATGATAAAAATACACAATGTATGATTGATAGTAACATAAGTAAATTTTTGAAAGAAAATATTCGTATAATAAGAAAGAATCATTATTATTATCTGTGTCTCGATAAAATCAAAGTAAAATGATATCAAAAAATATCTCCACAAGGGATGTAAAATCGAATGAAGTAAGAAAAAGAGATTACCTGTATCGATGATGCACATCCTATCGATAACATTACGACGAGGATGGCTCCCAGAGAGATGCTGATATACGGGTCAAATTGTAGATCGACGATTATGGCCTCATATAACACGACAGCTGCAAGAAATCCGAAGAGAAACCCGATGAAGGCCCTTGCTTTTCGATGAGTGCCGATCGGATCGTAGCAAATGTGAAACAGGGTCGGGCATTTTTTCAGATAATATTTCAGAAAACCCCTTCGTGTTCCCTCGATCAGACGGCCGCAGCGATTAATCCGGTCCAAGCCAGACATTTTCTCTCTTTTTGCGAAATTGAAAATCCTCGCTGATAAGCTACTTTGTGGCGGATTATGAAATGCGAAACTTTCAAGTTGATATCTGAAATGAGACAAATGTCGAATGTAATGTAAAGTCGATTTTAATTGCGAATTTTCTAAACCCATAATATTGGTTAAGATACATATATTAGAAATGTATATTCTTCAATTATAATTAAATAATACAATTAATCGTTTTAATTCGATAATTCCCACTAAGTCAATTTTTATCAAAATATAGTGGAAAGGAAAAGTTTAAAATATTTATAAGTTAAACGAAAATTAATAAATTTTATTCACGAGCGATTGATAGTGTAATTGAAAAAATATATAATGATTTATTATTGTCGAGATTGAGATCATAATAACGATTATATAAGATTTCTACATTTAGATATGATTCGTATGACAAAACACGATGTAGCAATACTAATAGTTTATGACAAGGACGAAATGCATTGGCGAAGAATTTAAATTTACAAATTAAAGAAATCTTTTTACGGAAATAGATAATGAGAGGCTGAAACAATCATATTCTTTACACAAATTGCTTGTCTAAAAGTCGAGGTGACATAATGCATCGCCTTGAATACTTGAAAAAAAGGTGAAGTACAAGAATTCTTTCCACGTAGGCATCAATTCCTTGCTTGCTATGCAGTTATGTACATATTTTTCTTGTTACTTGACACGAATACAATTCAACAGGATTAATCTTTTACGTTTATTACATTATATCAACATATATAATATTATTGAATACAATTATTATACATTTTATCGTCAAACGTCTCTTGATATTTGCAATAATTTATTTTAATTCTAGTAAAAATATTTTCTTATAAAATATGTGTTAAGTCTTTTTATATCAAATTTAACGATAATTGATCTAACAAATTTGCGATGCAAAAATTAAACTAATTATCTGCATTTTGATAACATATATAAAGTCTATAAAATATGATATATCAAATTTTTAATATTACACACCTACATACAATAACAATAATTTATTATGTAATAATTTGAACAATAATATTAAAACATTTATTAAAACAATTTTACTTTATATTAATAATCTATAATAAAAAAAAATTTTGTCTGAAGATGTCTACACTTAGAGTACAAAGGTCTATTACTCGACACAGGAAATGACTACGTTGTGCATATTTTTCTTGATAAATTATGGCAAGGATACATGAAGATGATTTCGTGCGACTAACGAACCGTGTCCAAGTCTTCCTTATAAGACTTTGGAACTAATGAGACTCCATGAGCAGTGAATCGAGAGCAACGCATCAATCTCGTTCGCTACGATGAAGCATCTAGTTGTCGCTCTTATCACCACCCTTTCGTTTTCCGTTGTTCTCGCAGAGGAGGTGCAGTATACTACGAAATACGACAATATAGATGTGGACGCGGTGATAAACAGCGAGAGGCTGTTGAATGGATACGTGGGTTGTCTGCTCGATCGAACTCCCTGCACCCCAGATGCGGCGGAACTCAAGAGTAAGTTTCACGCGAAGAGCATTTTTCTTTTAATCTTCTTTTACAGAAGACAATCTTCTGTAAAAATCTGATTCTATAATCGTTTAAATTGCGAAGAACGTAATATAATCGATACCTTTGCAATCTGGAAATAGAAATTCATATTAATTTTCATATTAATTTTTTTTCATTTCATATTATTAGAAATATGGATAAGATTATCTTAATATTTTTTAGATTATATTCTAGATTTTATTATAGTTGATAATAAAAAGTTTATAAATATATATTTTGTATGCATTAGAAAAACAATGTAAATAATTATTTTTTATTCTTTGCATCTCTCTCGTGAATTTAATAATTACGATTATATTAAATTAGAGAAATCTATTTAATATAGAGGAACTTAATTAATGTATTAAGAAAACTATTTCTTAATACATTATTAAAATAAAAAAGAAATTATTGAAAATATTAAAAAATAAAGAGAGAGAAAAAGAGAATTAAAAAGAAATAAAATGTATTAATTGCATTTACATAATATGTATTTCCTTAGAAAATCTACCGGATGCGTTAGAGCACGACTGCGCCGGATGCAGCGAGATGCAAAAAAACGCAGCCGACAAAATCTCTCATCATCTGATCGACAATAAGCCGGACGATTGGAGACTTTTGGAGGACAAGTATGATCCTACCGGGGCATATCGACGACGTTACTTGGAGAACAAATCTCAAGAAGGGGGCAGATTGGATTGAAATTGTTCTTTGCTTTGTAATCCAGCCAGCATATGTATTCAAAAGACGTTCTAGCATCCTGAAGATCTTCCTTCGTATGTTAAACACACCTTCGGAATTCTTTTGGATATGCAAGCTGTCTAGAAAGAATCATGATCTTTAATTTTATGTCGACTACGGCTATCCTTTGGAGTTGATTGCTTATCGTAATCCTTGTCACACAGCTGTTTCACTTTACATAACAAGATCTTTCGCGTATTATCCTCCTTCAACATGGAAGTTTCCGTGCAAAAATAAAGTCATTAAAATGATCCAGTTTTTATATAGGTAACATTTTTGCAACGCATACAAGTTTATTATATATAGATGGATAAATACGTTTTTACTCTTTTATTTATGTGCTATTATATAATATTCAATTTAAAAACAAAGTAATATTTTATAATACTTCATAAATAATGAAGAGATTTTTTACAAATCTTTGTCTCCAAGTCATTATATTAAAATCACCAATGCATGTGTATAAATAATTTATTAGAATGTATTATTATTTCGATATTGACAATATATGGGCAAGGATTCGCCAATATGTTTTATGCGGAAATTATTTAATTTATAAAAATATCGTAGTATTAGGATATCACAAACGAAAAAATGACGCTTATTAGTGATGATGATTATTATTAGTAACGCATAATATTAAATAATTTTTTATAATTAATTTGCTGTAATTCTGCACGTATAGAAAAATAGATAAAAAGTACTAATTTAGTTCATGTATCATAAGAAGAAAAAGATTCTTCGAATATTGGATACACATATAGTGGTAAATAAAAAAAAATAAAAAAGAAAAAATAGATGTTTATCAAGTATATAAATTAGTAATTACTCGTCTTTTTACGCGATTCGTTTCCTCTCTCTGCTATCTACACGTTTATAATTTTATAATCTTTGTTTAAAAGAGAGAACATATTTTTAAGCTATTTAACTTATTATTTATATTAAAATAATTTTTCTTTTTTATCGACTATATATATTTAATGGATATATAAAATATCGATATATAGAATAACTTACTTACCGATGAGGTACTGTCACTTTTTTACCAACTGCTGTACAAAGAAAATACTGACATTTACCGATAGGTTGCGCTTTACAATTTTTAGTTGATAAAATTTATTTGATTCCTTTAGTGGTTTATCGTCCTTTTTTATACATAAAGATAAGCGTAAAGTGTACTCGTAATAAATGATCTAAACAAGGTAACGCAACAAAAGAAATAGCGAACTTAACGAATTGTTCTCTTTCTCTTAAAAGTAGAAGGAGCAAATTTCTAAGCAAACACTTACTGCATAACCTACACGCATTAGAAAAGGATAGCTAGAACCTTCGTTAAGTAACTCTTTTCGCTCGCGGTGAAAATTGGATAAGAATAATTTTCACTTCCTATATATTTCTGACGGTGGCCTTTCAAACAATTTCTAGTGCACGACTGTAACTTTGCGCCAAAAAAAACTTGGGAGTACCCAAGGTTCGTTGACATTTCTTGTTGAAGTTAGGCAACGATCCACATATCAGGCATCGGCATGAAGTTGTCGCACGATTCAAATTTTTCACAGGAAACGTACATCGTACATACGTCATCAAGTATCCCGAAATGGACACCGTGCAACGCGAACGATCGCCGTGTTTCGCGTAAATTATTCGTTCGACGTGTATCACGAGTGTCACGTGAAGTGTCAAACGATTACCCGTATTGTGTTAGTTCAATCCGCGAGTGAATAAACATGGAAAGAGAGGAGCAGAGACTCCGACCGGGTGACATTTCACCGGCTCGGGACAATTCAAGTCCACTTTTCGCGCAATCGTGTATGTGATGTATTATGATTGTATTGTGGTGTATTGTGATCAAAACGCGAGTGTTCGAAGCAACGACGAGGTAATCCAACGCTGTCGACGTTCCTTGGAAAAGAATAGCGAGATGCGTCAAGTACTTTCGTTTCTTCCACTTGAGATGCAGATAAATAGGAGCCATCTGTCATCTATCATCTCCATTCGCCGCCATTTACCGTGGGAAATTGAAAAAGGTATTTATTTTTTCTACATTTTAATACTTCTTCCACTCGTAATTTCTTTTTCCTCCTTAATTGCTTTCACGAAATATGCAGTTCTCGTGTAATTATAGTATCGCACACGTACTTACGCTACTTGAGATAATTATTATCGCGATAATTTCCTCGCAATAGATTATTATAGCGTTTGCGATTATACGAGAAAGATTTAGGTCAAGCCAATTAAGGCACATTCGTAGGATGACGGCACGCCAAGTAAGGTTATGCTTAATCGTTCGGAAAGGCTTCCTCGTGCTACCAACAAAAACGCGACATGACCGAGATCTCTCGGGCGATCCTTTCTGTATAGTCTCGAATTACCGAAAGTATCTCGTAGCTCAGATATTCGGCATTTAACGCGGGTGGTCATCACACTAGGACAACCCTTCGCGAGATTCTCGGAAGCTCGAGTAAAAAAAAAAGGGTCGCGCAGAGTAATAAACCCGTGGCTATCGAGCTCCGAAAGGAACACGCGTGGGATTTAAATTATTCCCGGAGGAAGGGGGAGAAAAATATCGAAGTCTCGGACGATCGCGAAGAAACGCGAGGATTGTCAGCCGGGGAGCTGAATGCGTGATTAAGGGATCTTCGAGACGTACAATCGTCCGCGCAATTTATTAAAGCTTTCCCGAGAACGACGTTTCGAAACGTCGTTCGATGGGAGCGAGCGCGCGACTCGACAATTGCTCGGAAATTACACAGCGATCTTTCTCCGATCCGGAGTAACGTCATTCTACGAAAGCTCGAAAACGATCTGGATCGAGAGCGAGGCAGCCGCTCTCGCGATTTGATCCACTATACACGTGTCGTCCGCGCACGTACACATTTATCATGCACGCACACACGTGCCTATTATATGCGTGCGAGAGAGAGAGAGGGAGAGAGAGAGAGACAGCGCCTGCACACCTTCCCGCACGGTAACAGGCAGGCTATCGTGGTTATTAAGGAAACAGACGAAGGAACGAAACGAAGGAACAAGCGCGTTGGGTGGTCTCGCCCCGCTGTTTATGGGGCACTGCATCTGCTGGCCCCGTATAACCCTCCGCGAGCGAGCGCGACCTGTGTGGTCCCACCTTACGTCCGACTTTACATTCGATTCACTACTTGCTAATGGTAGCCGCATTAGCATTAGGTTGCCCGGCTGTCTCTCTCTTTCTCTCCGCATGATACGCCGCGACGAAACGAAACCTGCTGTTGTGCAATTTTTCGTCGCCGGCGACGAGTACCGAGGCCGGCTGTCCGTCCGTCCGTCCGTCCGCTGTCCGTCCGCTCCGTTTGCGCGATCGAGATCGAAATCGAGATCGGGATCGAGGTCGGATTGCCGGACCGGTAGTCTTTGGCATTCGCGCGTCCTCGGCCTCGTGTTGGCGCTTACCACGTGCCGTAGATTCGACAAATTTCAGAGCGAGCGAGAGATGTTTGTCAAATAAAATCGAGAGCGAAATTACACAGTCTCAAAGTAGTTTCGTTTCTTTTTTTAATAATAATTACATATTTCTTTTTTTATTGTAAACAATTGCTTGAAGTTGATTTTTCTATTTATATCTCTAACGATAAAAGTTCTTGAATCTTTTTGAAACAAAGGAAAAAGTCGACAAACATTGAATGACGACACTGATAACCATAATAATCGCTCAAAAACCATCTTAATTAATGACAATTATATGGCTCTTTAGAATCGCAGGTACGAGAATCTCCCCGGCCCAATATCTTCATTCATTCGGAGAATGCAAACGAGCGTTTTAAGCTGGTTTTCGCATGTGTGTGTATGTGTGTGAATATGTCCCACGTAAAACGTGTTGCGTGGATGCGTGCAGCGCGGTGAACGAGGTCCCCGATATGAGCGTGTTAGCGATTGGTCACGGGTGTGGGTGAGCCATATGCGCGACCGTTTCACAAGCAGGCTACCTGTCTTTAGGATCGTAACGCCAGATCGGGTTTTGACGAGCGATAATGATTTCGAGAATCGAGCACCCTCGTTAAACGAACAGTCAGACGAATCGGGGGATTCATAATGCACTGCTAAAGTCTAAGGAATGCGCCGTCTAAAATGGACAGAGCGAACATTGGCACAATTTTATTTTAATTTATACATGTCTTTACATGTCTTTTTCATATATATAAATATATTATCAAACATTTTTATAATTTATGCAATTATATAATTATATAATTTATATAATTTATATTTTTATAATTTTGTATTATTTATCTTTTACTATATTTTTATTTGTCTATTTAATTATTTACATATTAAAAAATTAAAAAATTCTTATAAATATATTATCAGATATTTTTATAATTTATCTTTTACTACATCTTTATTTGTCTATTTAATTATTTAACGTATTAAAAAATTAAAAAATTCCAATTTTACAAAAGGCATGATTGATACAAATATGATCATTTACTTATCTTTTATATTTCTTAATAACATAAAAATATTTGAAATATTTATATAGAATATTTAGGGAAAAAAATGTTTACTTTTGTTTGAGATAAGTCTCGTACAATCATCTATAATTTCCGACATGAAAAATTAGAAAATAACGATAATAACAATCGTTCGGTCGGGGAGCCCGATATTCGCTAAACCATGGACAATTGAGAAGTCTGCATCCGGTCGGGTGGCGTCATGGACCGGCGTCATCGCCGCCGCCACCGCCTGCGGGGTGAAAAATACTTGCGCGGCCAAGCATGCCGCGATACTCCGATCGGTCGGAGAAGGCATCGATCTCGCCATTGATCGATCGGTCGGCCGGGCCCTCGGATAAGATACTGTCGTCGTTCTGATCCTGTCCTACTCATCGGCGTCCGGTGGACCACACGCCGTCTTGTCGCCTTTCCCTCGTTCCTTTCGCAATAGATCCGCTTGATCCGTATATTCTATCTCTCCAGTCGCGATACTTTATTCCCTCCGACGTGACTGACAATAAGCGTAACGTTTCTCTCTTCGCTTTTCCTCTGGGAGAAGCACGGGAAATGGGGCGAATGAATCGAATTGACAAGTTACTCAAGTTTATTCAAGTGAGAGATGACGGAAAGATACAAACGATAATAAAAATCTATTGGTTATCCCGAGTCGCTAACTATCACGACAGTGATATTCCTCCATCGTTGCGTAGATTTGCATTGATTGAGGTCAAAGTGTCGCCTCTGCAGAATCGATTCTTGGAAATAAAAGATTGCGTTTGCGTCGCGTCAAGATGAAAATTTCGGCGCGCGCACGAGCGAGCATCGCTCTCCTTCGAGGAACGAGGACAGGAGACAAACTTGTGACTTCTCTCGATGGAGTGGAAAGGGGAGAGAGAGAGCGAGAGAGAGGGAAGAAAAAGGAGAAGCAGGCGGGGGAGGAGGGATAACCCCTCTGCCAGCAGCGAGAAGGCCACCCACGTCGAGGGCGCAAAGGCGATATTTAGCGGAAGGCAAATCTCTCCTGGACCACCCACGTCGGCTCCTCGTCGCCGGAGCCTGGGCTACCTTATTTCAGGGTGCGCGCCGGGTGTCGTTGTGTGCGGGTCCCGCAGCACGAAACCGAGAACGCGCGCGCGCGTGTGGGCCTCTCTCTGTATATAATATATAATATAACGATTCTCTCTCCTCCTCTCCCTCTCTCCCTCTCGAATATATCAGCACGCGGTTCGCAGAACGATTTCCGCGATCAGTTCGCTACGATTTTCTCGTTTTCCGTCCGCCGACCCGTTCTCGGGGTCCCGGCGTTTAGAGTTAACGATACGTTAATTCCTCGCGTCACGCTCGGCAAACTCTCGACACTTATACTCCTTCTGTCAAACAGTAAAGTAGGTTTAACGAAATAATTGGCAATAGTCGAGAACGCTTTTAGCTTCTTTTTTTTCCTCGACGATCTATAACCGAGTTACCAATCGTATAATTTTAATTAATAATATAAATATCTGTTATGGAAATAATCTAATTTATTTAATTTATTTAATTTTATTAATTTACTTTAGCTTTATTTATTTACGATTTAGTATAAATTTATTTATATTAAAAATATATTTATGTCTTTGTAAAATAGATTGTTAGCAGAAGAATTGGTAATAATTAAAACTGTTTCATTATTGAATTTTAAGCTATTTTAATGTGAGACAGACCTTGTTATATAATTCATCGCAATAAAAAAAGTGATTCATATTTGAGATATGAATATATTTACGATTTTAAGAAAAAAGAAGGATAAGCCAAAGAATGCTATTGTATATTACATGATGTATGAAAAACATGCATCCACAACATTTTGTTCACCATTATAGATTTATGACACATAATATATTTCTGTCGTAACTCGATTTTAGTGAGCTCGAGCATTGTATCTTGAAAAAAAGAGAAGAAGAATTGATGCTATAAAAAAGGAGGAATTTTATACAACCATTTTACTGCATTTATTTCGAATAATTTTCAAATTTGCAACAAGTAATGTTAGATATGCGAGCGTAAGAGTTAAATTTGCTGAGAGTTTCAAAATAGTATTCTGAGATAAAATTAGATAAAAATATAAATGATAAAATTAGATTGTGTCTTCGTTCATTCATAAATATCATGTTTCCGGTAAAGTTCGGATGTTTAATAAAAATTTTCTCTCTTCTTATCACATTTCCATTTACCTGCGGAAATGAATCATCTCGATAAAAAATGATTCGTTTATTAACGTAAATTTTAGAATGTGTTTTCATACAAATACGAATATGAATACGATAGTACTTTTATTAGGTATAATTTGTACAAATATATAAAAACATTTTTAGATACACTACTTATTAAAAGTTATAAAATAAATTAATATTTATACAAATTGATATTATATAAACATGATTTATATGAATTAATATTAATATTTATGTAAACTAATAATTTATCAAATTATACATATAACAGAGTGAGTCATGTATTTTTAAATTTCATTGTTTTATTAATATGTAATTAAAATAAAATAATAATTATAATTGTTTTATATA